TGATTGAGGAATAGTCCTGTGATCATAGCGGAATCCTCAGTACTGCTGATGGACAAAATCTAAACTATGGGAATTATGGTATATTCCTTATAATGGGTATATAATGCAGGATTTTGTCCATCAGCGGTATGACTTCAGCTCTATTCCTTAGAAGCTGCCCCCACCCTGTAATAGTGGTATAATAGGAATATAATAGGGCCCGAATAGAATCCTATATAACCCTTATGGTCACTATTACAGGGTGGGCCGCAGAGTGGTTCAAGGGCTTACTTAGGATTTCGGATTGGGTTGTTAGAGCTCCGGATTTCTGTAAGTGTACCTTTATTAAGGCTTCTATAGCTTTCTCGAATGGTTCTATAAGGATCAACTGCATTGAAGGGCTTTGGAGTCTTCAGGAGATCTCCGGCTGCTTCAGTAGGGTCGCGGGATGCTGCACTCCAGGTCGTTACAACCGTACTTGGGTCTAGGGTTTAGGGTTTAGGGTACTTGTTTCTATACTTCCTTTCTTCTTAGCCCTAAATGACATGTCCCAGCATCCTTTAAGTAGGGTTTTTTGGCAATCAGGGCTACGGGCGCTTTGTGGGTTAAGACTGGAGGGGCCTTAAGGGCTTCTAGGATGCCCAGTAGTACCCTTATTCCCTTTTTGTAGTCCTAGGTTCCTTATAAAGTTACCCAACAAGAGAGGCCGTTTTATCCTTAGGTTACGGGGTATCCTAGGCTTTAAGTTTTGCGAGTTTGTGTTGTTTTTGGTACTGCCCCCCAATCAATAACAGTTGGATAATGTTCATGATATAGTCATGTTAGGGCCTTATAATAGTAGCCCTATTATAGCCTGTTACTGTATGGGGGCAGTACCCAAGTTATTTGGTGTGGATCTTCGGCTGCTTTCTTGTGCGCTATTGCTACGGGGCTAGAACAATTACCAATACTATGTTGGGGGTTCGTTATTGTAGATATAGTATAATGGGCTCCAAACCTGTTCTAATTTTAAAGGCCCCTATGTTAATTTCGTTATTGCTCTTGATCTCTTCATTGCTGCGTGTTGGCGGCAGCAGGGGCGTGGTGGGCCTTCGGGTGTTGGGTATTCGTTGGTTTGGCGCTTTTGGGAGGTTTGGAGTTTTCTTGAGGTGTTGCGTCTTTGTTGCTACTACTACTACTACTACGCCGACGACTACTACTACTATTGTCACCACTGGCACTGCTCCTGCTGCCGCTAGTGCTGCCACGACCACCGCCGGCAAGACTAGACCATGAACCCCTAAACCCCTAAATTGCACTAAACCCCTAAACCCCTAAGCCCCTAAACCCCTAAACTCTAAACTCCAAACCCCTAAACCCCTAAACCCTAAACCCCCTTCTACCCTCACTTCGCGCCGCAGTCGGCTAGAGGAGCCGCAGCGGTTCCGGTCCCTTAGCGTGGGTAGGACCATGCCGGGCTTCGATCCCGAAGTTCAGGCCGTGTTTTTTTTTTTTTTAGGGGGGAGGGGGGAGGGGTGGGGGGGGGGGGGGAAATTTTAGTTTTTTTGTTTTTTTTTGGGGAGGGGGGGAGGGGGGAGGTGTGGGGGCGGGGGGGGGGGGAGAAAAGCTTAGGCCTTTACGGGTTCCGGGGGTAAGGATCTGTTGAAGTTTCTAGGGTGTTTAGGGTTTAGGTCCCTTAAGGGTTCAGGGGGTAAGAGTCTTTTGATGGTTTAGGGGTTTAGGGTTTGGTTCCTTTATGGGTTCAGGGGGGTAAGGATCTGTTGATGGTTCAGGGGTTTAGGGTTTAGGGCCGTTTACAGCTCAGGGGAATGGGTGTTTGTTCTTTTAAGGTTTAGGTCTTTCAGGGTTCAGGGTATTGGACCCTAAACCCTAAACCCTAAACCCTAAACCCTAAACCCTAAACCCTAAACCCTAAACCCAAAACCCTAAACCCCTAAACCCCTACACCGGGTATTGGGGTCCTTTTGGGGCCAGGGTTGTCCGGACCTTGGGGTTTCGGAGTTTAGCTGGGCCTCGAAGTCCCATACTTTAACACTTTTTCTACTATTTGCTTAAGGAACACCCAAAAAATAAAAAAAATAATCCCTATATTACCCCCATAAGGAATATATTTTTTATTTTTGGGGAGTTCTTAAGCAAATAGTAGTTTAACACTTTTTTGGGAACCTTTTACTTCAGGAGAACCATCATGAAATACAAGTGTGGGTTTCCGAAAATGGGGGACCCTAATGTAGCACCCTAAATAGTAGGATCCTTATTATAAGGGCCCCCAAATAAGGTACCCCTATTTTCGGAAACGACCAAGTCGATACCTTTTTCTCCCTACTTCAAAGCCCAGTTAGGGTTTAAGAGGCCTCGGATGTCAAGATCTCGGGCAGGGCGAGGCTTGAGGCTAGAAGCTTATTATTATTATTATTATTTATTTATTTTTTTTTAATGGTTTAGGGGTTGGGGGTGTAGGGTTTAGGGGTTTAGGGTTTAGGGTTCTTGGGTGGTGCTGCGTGAGTTCACCTAAAACCTCAAGCCTCAAACATCGACCGGCACTGCAGTTGCCCTGTTCTGTTCATTCTGCTTATTCCTTGGATGCTTCTGTGTAGGAAACGACCCTTGCAAGAACCCGCATAGGAACCTTCAAAAGGAGCCCTTACACAAACCCTTATAGGCACCCTGAGCCCTTCAAGGAAGCCTAAAATGTGAATCCATCTAGGCAAAGCAAAGCAGCTTCAACGCGAAAGCAGGAACCCTATCCGAAATAAAGGGCAAGAGCCTCTCACCCAGACCTGCACCTCGAACGTGCGGAATTAGCTGCGTAGGACATTAGGGTGTCAGAGTTTAGGGTTTAGGAGGGTTTGCGGTACAGCCTGGTATAAATATTGCAGGGAACCCTAAGGAACAGTAGTACTAACTATTTGGGCTTCTATACTACTCGGCACCATCGTTGAGGTCGTGATGACTGTCGAAGATGAGCGCTATCAGCATCATCAGCATGGCCGTCATCACCTATCCGATGTCCTCGTTTTGACCTGCAGCATCAGCGTGATCATGTTTTAACATCACCTCCGCCTGCATCAGAAAGTCTTAACGACAGCATCAGTATCCACCACAAGCAGCAGCATTGTCACCCTCGCCGTTACCATCGCCATCATCAACACCGTCGGTAGAAGCACCGTCCCTATTGGCCAGTGGCATGCCTTTGTTTTGTGCTGGCTTCAACGCATCTGGGTATGGTTGGCGTTGTCGGTCTGTTCTGCCTTTTCGTAGCCTTTCGTGGTAGCCTCTTATCCTTGATGCCTTGATTCGTCTTCTTGTGGTTGATTTTGTTGATGGTGATCTGTCAGAGTCAGTCCTGTCACTTTTTCTCTTTTGGAGCAGTACGACAAGTTTTGATCAAGTCACGTACTTGATGCTTTGCTGCAGACTTGGAAGGGCAGGGGACTTAGTAAGTAGGCTATAAGTAGAGTTATACCTAAATGGAGTTACCCCAATTATAACCCTACTTATAACCTACTTACTAAGTCCCTAAACCCTAAACCCGATAGATGCCCTTTAAGGAACCCTATAGATCCCTTTAAGGAGCCCTTTAAGAGCCCTTACTAAGTCCCCTGCCCTTCCAAGGACAGGGTCGGTCGTCGAGGTTGTTTTTTGGGGGTTTGACTCTTCGACCGGCTTCGCAGGGTTCCCATCATAATAAGCATAGTCGACTATATGGGAGTTTCCGAAAACAGGGGACCCTAATATGGTACCCTAAACAGTAGGATCCTTATTATAAGGACCCCTAAATAAGATTAAATAAACATAGTCTAGGATGCCCAGTAGGACCCTTATTCCCTTTTTGTAGTCCTAGGTTCCTTATAAAGTTACCCAATACCAAAAAGAGAGGCCTTTTTATTCTTAGGTTACTGGGTATCCTAGTAGTCGACTATATCCCAAAACCCTGTTCGAATTACTGACGCCCCACACATGAAACCCAAAGCTCCAGATTCCCGCAGGAGACTTTGAAACAGGTGTTGCTGTTACACAGTAGTGTAATACAGGGGCCTAGATAATTACCTAATCTATTTTGGAGGGGTTCCTTAGTATTAAGCAATACACCCCAAACCCCTTTTCTAATTATTAGGCCCTGTATTAAGTTCCCTAAACCCTAAACCCTAAACCCTAAACCCTAAACCCTCCCTATGGACTGTTTTGTTGTCCTGGAGCCCCCAGCGTTCAGGCCAATGCCATCTGCTGTATTGTCTCAAGCAGCTCCGGCCGGCATGCTTTGACTGAGTAGCTGAGTGGATACACTTTACACTTTTTGGGGACAATATTCAAGACTATAACACTGAAAGTGTGCACTTTTTGGGGGGTTATGAACTCAGCCGCTGAGTCCAAGGTTTAGAGTTCTTTGTTTGGGGTCTACGGCTTTCGGTTGAGGGTTTCGTTACAGGTTTCGAGTTCCTTGTTCAGGGTTTACGGCTTTAGGGTTTCGAGTTCCGGATCGAAAGCCTTCGCATGCCACGGTCCATTTCGGACCTGGTCTGTCACAGGTCCAACGCTTTGGGGCTTAGGAATTAGGGTTTAGGGTGTAGGAGCTAGGGTATAGGTATATAGGGTTTAGGAAGTAAGGTTTAGGGGTTTAGGGTTTAGGGTTTGACACGAAACTGGACACTCGGGGCTCTTGCAAACCCGGGGTACTGCAAGACCGCATGCAGCAACGCTTCGGTAACCGGATTCATTTTGTGGACCAGGTGGATGCAATGCAGGGTGAACTATTGGTTGCGGATGTGCTACACGGTCGAACGCCAGAAGCTGTAGTGTGGGGCTCGCCGCATGGCAACACATTAGTCCCGCGGACTGGCGGCCCTCTACTACGTGCTCGAAGCAATGCCGCCTGCAAGGTCGAGGCCTTCCACTGGCTGTGCGAGGCCTTCCCAAACAGCGAAATTTTCTGCCCCATCCCGGCGTACTAGACCGAAATTGTGGGTACTGTGCCACTACAGCCGATACAATCTGCCGACGGCCTTGTTGTATACGAGCCCATGGCGAGCCATCCCTACCACCTGCAACGTCTGGAGACGGCCGCTAACTTGATGATCATGACGACACTGGTTGATGACGGCACAACTTTAGACCTGCGCGCCAATTTTTCCCGTCAAACATGGCCCTCAGTCATTGCACAGCATCCCACGGCATGTCTGAAGCCAGGAGTTTACACTAAACCTTATGCTGGAAACCCGAAACCGATAAACTAGGGGATTTAGCATTTACGGTTTGGGGAGGCCAGTATAGTAGAATTCCCGAAAGAACCCTCAATTATAGTGACGGAGTCCTTTGAAGGAGCCCTACTCTAATTATGAATGCTTCAGTGTTCCCTTATGCCCTTCTGGTCACCCTTAAAAGACCCCTTTGTAGAAGCCTAAACAGGAGCCCCCTGTAAGCCCTTTGACTTGGTGCTTCCTTTTTTTTATTCTAGTATAATGGGCCCAAAATCCTATTCTATTGATGAGCGCCCCTATACTAAATCCCAAATCCCTTGCAATAGCCCTTATATTATAGTAACCCTATAGACCCGTTTAAAAGAAGCCCATTCTGATGATTAATGGCCCCTAGATTACTCCAACTATGCAGGCCCATTGTAGTACCCTCATAGACCCCTAAAAAGGAACACCCTATGTTAACCCTATTCCGACTTATGCAAGCCTCGCTATCCGTCCTGGCCTCCAAGGGTAAAAGGAGGGACCCTTAATAAGGACCCCTAGGTATATACCCTCTATCTGGCTATTATATACCCATTATATAGCTATCATATACCCATTATATAGCTATTATATACCCACTATATAGCCCCATTATAGGGTAGGGGTCCCCATGAAGGGTCCCTCCTCTTCCCCTTTGACAACCCTGGGGACTGCAATGGACCCTAAACCCTAAACCCTAAACCCTAAACCCTAAACCTAAACCCTAAACCCCTAAACCCTAAACCTAAACCCTAAACCCTTAAACCCTAAACTCTCTTAAGGGTCCCCCCTTTGCCCCTTTGATCCTGGCCAGGTGAACTCTTCGGCTTGGCGGTCTTTGACGATGACCTCCGAGCCTTCAGGTCGGGAGTTCCCAGAAATTCCGGGAGGATCCTGGGACTTAGTAGGGTGGATGACATAAATCCTAAGGGTTCCTTTAAAAGGATCTATAAAGGTACCTTTAAGGGGGTCTATAGGGTTTAGGGTTTAGGGTGATAATCTTAAGGACCCTAAACTATGGGAATTATGGTATATTTCTTATTATGGGTAATGCAGGGTGTAAAGCCCAGAAAGTTGGAAACTGGGTTAAGGCCAAATAGTGCTGGGATTCCCTATACGTTACTCTTAAGGATGGAGGCTCTGGGGTTTCCAGCTTTTGGGCTTCTACTGTAGTAGGGTTGATTAAAGGGGATCCTTTAGGGTTTAGGGTTTAGGGATCTATAAGGGAAAGTAGATTCCCCTAATTTGGGGCCCTACACTATTAAGGGTACTTTATAGGAGCCACCATTAAGGGATCTCCTTGTTGGATCCTCCCGGGGGTCTGGGTTTCCGAAAATAGGGGTCCCCAAGATAGTACCCTAAGTAGTGGGATCCGTAGGTTTAGGGTTTGCTTAGGTTTAGGGTTTGAGCCTTCAGGTCGCGTTGTGGATTTCAGGGTTTCGGAGGGTTTGGGGTTTAGGGCTTATGGTTTGGGAACCGCCTACTGGCCAGAACGTTTAGGGTTTGAGCCTTCAGGTTGGGTTGTGGGTTTCAGGGTTTGGGAGGTTGTGTGGTTTCGGGTTTAGTGTTTGGGAGGGTTCAGGGTTTAGGGTCTGGGGTTAAGGGCTCGCGAGGGTTTAGGGTTCAGGATTTTTCGGTTGAGGGCTTGGGGTTTAGTGTTTAGCGTTGGAGGGTTTAGGGTAAATCATACAGAATGAGTATGTAATAGGACGTTCTAGTATGTTGTGGCATTAAACAGCCCCTTCATGGTTTAAAGTCTATTGCTTTGTTAAGGAGCGCTGGGTCCTCTGGGGAGGGCTCAAACCGTGCGTTTGACTTGACCCTATTTGCAGAACTCAAGTCTACATTCCGAAAAGGCGGAATACGAGTCCTTATATCAAGGGTCCTTGATCCTACCTAACCCGAGTGGCCAACACCGTTTAATGAAGGAATATGTTTAAACATAAAACTTCGTAAACCTCAACACATACAAAGCCCTCCACCCTGCACAGTAAGACCTTTGGGTGTAGGGTTTGAGGCTAAGGGTCACTTAACCCTAGGTTTTGCACCCACATCCCTTTGCCGTCCACTTCATAGCTTAATCAATGCCCATACTTCGCAGAATTTATGCCTTAAACCCCATACGTCGTAGACTTTATGCTCTAAACCCCATCCCGTCGCCTCTATACCCCAAACCTAATTTTTTCAGCCTGCCCATCGCAGGATTTGCGAGTACAGCGAGGATGTTCACCTCTCCAGGAGTTCGCTGCTATTGGGTTTTTGGGAGGTTGGCAGCTAGGATGTGCTAATACAGGGGCCGAAATATGTACCTACATTTTTCTTGGGGGGGGGGGGTTCTCATCTTGATTGTAGTATTACGGGCCCCAGAACACTATTCTAATCGGTAAGGCCCCTCTAGTAGGCCTCAGGACGGTTGACGTTCGCAGCTTTGGGGGATCGGGGGTTTAGGCCTGTGGTTCTAGGCTGTTGAAGCTAGGCGTGCAGAGTTTGGGTTTGTGAGTCCGCGGCCTTTGCGTGTGGTCGGATGTTGCAAGATAAGTTGCTACTAAGCGGATCTAAACCCCTCAATATGTCTGAGCTTACACCCTAAACCTTTAAAGTAGGGGCCTTTGACTAGGGTTTTGGGGCCCATTCTACTATGATTATAACAAGGAACCCCCCAAAACCCCAAGACTTAAAACTTTAAACCCAAAACCCCAAACCCGAAACCCCCTAAACCCCAACCCCCCCTCCAAAAAAAGGCTTAAAATTGTTTCGAGGACCGAGGCGTTGCTGCTGCAACTCCAACCCCGAAGCTGCTGCCAGCGACCGACGCCTCGCTTGGGAATGCGGTCTTTCAGGGTTTACAGGGGTGTATATGAAGGCTTAAGGTTTAAAAGGGTGTAGGGTTTAGGGCCAAAGGGTATAGGGCTCCTTTAAGGGATCTGTGGGGTTTAGGGTAATGAGCCCTTTCAGGGTTTATAGGGGTGTATATCATGGCTTAATAAGGCTTAAGGTTTAGAAGAGAATAGGGTTTGGGGGCCCATTATCGTATACACATAATAAGGAACCGCCAGAACAGTATAGGTAATTACTGCTATAGGGTTCCATAATAGCAATAGGGCCCCCTTTAAAGGGTATAGGGCTCCTTTAAGGGATGTGTGGGGTTTAGGGTTAAGAGCCCTTTCACGGTTTATAGGGGTGTATATGAGGGCTCAAGGCTTAAGGTTGCAGTTCGATTCTTCGGGGCGCGAGTTTGGAGTGGCAAAACTCTGAAGCCGCACCTTCGTCTACTACATCGATACCCAGACTCCCGGGAGGATCCAAAAAGTAGATCCCGTAATGGGGGCTCCTATAATCAGGGGATCTACTTTCTAGATCCTCCCGGCGGGTCTCGGCCATGGGGGGGGTCCTGATAGAGGTGTATATGAAGGCCTAGCTTTAGAGGGGGTTTATATAATGGAGTTCGTGATTAAGGTTTGGGGCCGCGGCTTTGGCAGGCTCAGGGTTCAAGGGCTTAGACTCTTAGGGTAGGGTTTAGGACTAACGGTTTGTGCTAGGGGATTCAGAGCTCTAGGCATCGGGATTGGGCTTGAATGAATGGTTTGTATGCTAATCAGGGTTCGATTAGGGTTCGGGGACTAGGGACACGCCACGATCGCAGTGAACAAACTTGAATGCTTTTGGGGCAGGGTGGAGGTTTCGGCAGTGGATTTGGTGGGGTGCAGGGGTTTCACCGTCAAACGTTAAACCCTACACTACCCTAAACCGAAACAGGGTTCTGGGTTTGGGATTAAAGCTTTTGGGGTTTTGGGTTTAGGGCAACGCAAAGGTTTGCAGGAGACTGTCTGGTTCTTAGTAGGGAACGGGGGAATGGATCCCTATAGCAGTCCCCAATGTCCATTCCCCCACTCCCTACTAAGAACCAACAGGCAGCCTAAGAACCCTAAACCCCCATAGTACAACCCTTATGGCAACCCTTCTAGTAGCCCTTAAAGAAATTCTATTCCCGACTAAGAACCAGACAGGAGGCTCAGGAGACGGTTCAGGATTTGTGTATTCGGGCTTCACACCCTGGTGCCAGAAGCTGTGGAGCTGAGGAAGTCGAGGATCTAGACAGCTTCGGTTCTAAATCCTGAACCCCTAATATAGGGGCCTTAATGATTAGAAGTAGGGTTCCTCTGAAGGGGTCTATCAGGGTACCATAAGGGATCTATAGGGGTACTATAATATAGCGGTGTTTGGGGTATTTCATACTATAATAAGAAACCCCCAAAATCGTAGAGGTAATTATTAAGGCCCCTATATTACCTGAAAGCTGAAAAACTCCTGCCTGCAGTGTTTAACGAACGGAGCCGTTCCGGAACATGTAGACAAGCTGTGCCATATTGGACAGTACCTCCAGGCAACATGCAGCTAGCGACACACGTCTGTGACTGGATCGGCGAGTCCGCGATGTTGCCTGAAACGTTCGTGGCGCGGAATCCAGGCCAGCCGGAGGAGGAGGCTGCGGAGGGTTATTGGAGTGGCTGTGTGGCAGCAACCCATGGGGCGACAGCCTACCTGGAGGGGCAGGGGACTTAGTAAGTAGGTTATAAGTAGGGTTATAAATGGGGTAACTCCATTTAGGGTACTTATAACTCTACTTATAACCTACTTACTAAGTCCCCTGCCCTTCCAAGTATCCTGTCTACTGCGCCGTGTGAAAATCTTGGCTGGATCCACTGTCACTGGACACATTGGCCGCAAAGCCTGGGCTTCTGCATTGCAGAACACTCTAGGATGCCCAGTAGTACCCTTATTCCCTTTTTGCAGTCCTAGGTTCCTTATAAAGTTACCCAATACCAAAAAGAGAGGCCTTTTTATTCTTAGGTTACTGGGTATCCTAGCACTTCAACCCGTAAACTTCACCAAACCAAATCCTCCCTGAACCAATACCCGTCAAAACTGCTATAATCGCTACAAGTCACTTCATACAAATCAGGCGCCGTAAACGCGTAAACCCCTAATCCCCTAAACCCTAAACCCTGAATCCTACACCCAAACCCCGACCCCGAAAGCCTCGAGCACTGAATGCGAGACGGATGCCAGGCTTCTTCACAGCCCTGAGGCAGTGAAGAAGCTGCGCAGCGCCCCAAGAACTCAACAACACGTGAAGAAGTCGAGTAGGTTACCTTTAACCCGAAGGGTTTTTTTAATTATAGGTAACCGTAAACCCGTATGGGGCACTGCAAACCCTTTATAGTCCCGAAGGTTAATTGCTCTCGTTCCGACAAGTCAGTGCACTTGGGGACCTTCAAGTCGTGGGTAGCTCTTTACAACAATGATTGATCTCATGCGTTTTTTGCAAGAGGTCTTTTGGACAATACGTCGAATCCGGTAAGAAACCTCAAATTGCAAGGGGCCTAGTCTTGTGATTCAAAATTTATTCCTGAATGAAGGCATTTGGGGATCTGTGGGTACCTGCATTTGGGGACTCTACTCAGAGATCCACAGTGGCTTTTGGTGGGCTTCAGAAGAGTTCTTTCTGGGTGTTAAACGGTTTCATAGGCTCTTGTGAATTTATGAGGCATTGGGTTGGGGCCTCTTCTGCGGTAGAATAGTTACATGTGGGTTATGGAATATGCCTAGATCACATTGGGGTTCCTATCAGAGGTCTCTTGACCTCGGCAACGGCATCTCTGGAATCTCTGGCACATTTTTGCACCGATGCTACAAGCCTAGGGAGCCCGATACTCTAAAGACTATAGACGTTTCAACAAAATATTAGGGCCCTGGTCGTTTATTTAAGGTCTATTTTCACACCCTGTGAATCCCTATTGTTAAAGCGCCACATAGAAGCCCTAGCCCTATGACTTCCCCTAGCTAAGTGCCCTACACCCTGAATGTCCTCCACTAGTTAATATCGGGGTCTAAATAATTTACCAATACTATTCTGGGGGGTTGCTCATTATAATCATGGTATATTATCCCCCCAAGACTCTATTCTATTTATTGAGGCCCCTATATTAAAGTACCCTTATAGATCCCGCTTAAAAAGTAACCCTTACAAAGACCCCTTTAAAGGAACCCTATTCTAATTTTTGAGGCCCCTAGAAGGGGTCCTGGGGCCTTACCGGACTAAGGCCCGGGTCTCTTCTGGCTTCCCAGAGACTCCGATATCCCGTAGTTAAGGAATACCTAGGGTTCCTTTGAGGGATCTATAAGGGATCTATAAGTTTTAGGGTTTAGGGGACTCCAATATCCCTTGATTACGGAATATACCTTAACTTGTTATAGTAGGACACCTTATATATTTCAAGGTAGCGTTTGAATTTGGGGGTTAAGGGTTTGTTTAGGGTGGGGTTTATTCGTTTGAAGTTTGGTTCCCCTTTCGAAGGGACGCCTTACAGTAAGGATCCTGCCATTTTACAGCCCGGCCACCGATGCAGTTCAGGGACTTCGGGTTTCGGGCTAGGGGTTTAGGGTTTAGGGTTTAGGGTTTAGGGTTTAGGGTTTAGGGTTTAGGGTTTAGGGTTTAGGGTTTAGGGTTTAGGGTTTGGGGTTTAGGGCTCAAAGACTCAGACATGACCCAGGCTCCGTGGCGGACTCCTGCGGCGTGGCGGTAGAGGCCAGGGGGCTTCGGGCTTAAGCTCGCGCTTCGCTGATCGCAATACTAAGGTGCACAAAGGGCTGGGTACTTGCTTGGAGTAAGGCCCTAAACCCGAAACCTTAGGAAAATTCGGCAAGGTGAACCGAACATCCGTATAGGAACCCACATAGATCCCTTCGAGTATACCTAAGTTTAGGGTGTGAGGGCTTCACAGTTTCGGGTTTCTTTGGTTTCAAAGGTTCGGCTTTGGGGTATGGTTGTGAGCCGTACTTGGAAGGGCAGGGGACTTAGTAAGTAGGTTATAAGTAGAGTTATAAGTACCCTAAGTGGAGTTACCCCCCAATTATAACCCTACTTATAACCTACTTACTAAGTCCCCTGCCCTTCCAAGTAAAGGCTTGGGGTTCAGGGTCCAGCGGCTGCGGAGCGAGCACTAAAGCCTTCCGCCAGTCACGCCCGAAGCCATCCGTGAGAGTTTAGCGTTGAGGGCTTCCCTCGGAGCCTAGGTTCCCAGTTATTGTGTTTAGGGTTTAGGGTTTAGGGTTTGAGGGCTCGCATGTAAGACTGACTGAAGAAGAAAGGAGAGTCCCTTTTGTTTACGTGGCTACTTTGGAAACATTCCTTTGGACGTTTCATGACCTGGAGCCTTAGATCAACTTCGTAGCTGAGTAGGTAACCTTGAGCATTTAGGGAAAAACAAACCTACCGTGAATCAACAGGTTAACCTTTTCTGGGCTCGGATACCCTAAACCCCAAAATCCTAAACCCTAAACCCTTTTTGGGCTAGGGTTCTTTTGGGGGTTCCTTATAAGTATAGTATAATGGGCCCCAAAACCCTATTCTAGTTCATTGAGGCCTCTGTAATAGTACTGTTTTGGGGGTTCCTTATTCTGAATATAGTATACTGGGCCCCCAGACCTTATTCTAATTATGAAGGCCTCTATATTGCAGGAGAAGACACAAAGTAGTTGGAACATCATCATCCACAGGCCCCTTAATCCATGTTCCAACTTTTCGGGGCTCACTATACAAAAAAAAACCCTAAACTGAACCGCTCAGCCCCCAAAGCCCAGACGCGACGCCGCCAAAGCCCCAAACACACCGGACAGTAAACCGTACCCGGAGAGCCCAATTCCTCTCCATTCAAGAACATATCCTTTTCCATCGGGATTTGATGGTATGATTTGAGGTGGGTTCCTTTATAAAGGGCATTGGATATGTGGCTCTCGGGTACGACACTCTTCAGGATGCCAAGCCGCAGCAGTCGAGGCAGGCGGATCTGGAGCAGGACCCGAGCGACCCGAAATCCTACCCCCCCTTACCGGTTTAGGGTTTAGGGTTTCCTAACTGGGCTTCGGGTTTCTAAACCCTAAATCCTAAACCCATGTAGGCCCTTTTACCCCCGATTGGGTTTATGAGAGTTTGTTAGGGCTTATAGTCTTCATAAGGGGTCCGAACAACTCTCCTTGACATGTGCGTTATTGTGACAGACTAGTAGACGCCTCAAGCCGTGAATCGTTAAACCCTTATCCCGAGTCAAAGACGCAAATTGCCAGTCGGCCCTCCGCCATGCAGACTCGCAGAGCATGAACATGCGCAATTCCAGTGCCCAAGCGCCCCTCAACCCTACTTGGAGGTTCATGGGTAGTTATAAGTGGGGTTATAAGTCCCCTAATATGGGTTATAAAGTATAGTTACCCTACGTATAACCCTACTTGTAACTACCCAGTAGCCCCCGAGCCCTTTAACCCGAGACCTTTGAACTATGACCTACCGCCCCTGACCTACCGCCCCTCAAGGAATCCACCGCAAGTAATAGAGAGGTCAGAGTGACTGCGAATCTCCCTTCTCCTCCCTCTTGTTGCTAGAGGGTGGCCTTCATTATTACCTATACTATTTTGGTGGTTCTTTTTGTGATTATGGTATCATGGGGCCAAAGCCTCATTTTACTTATTAAGGCCCCGAAAGTATCCCCCGAAACTCCATTTTCTGCAACCAAGGGCCGCAGATTACACGCCGAGCAGTGGGCCTCTTTGTTGCGGGGATCCTGTGGCATACTTGGAAGGGCAGGGGACTTAGTAAGTAGGTTATAAGCAGGGTTATAATTGGGGTAACTCCATTTAGGGTACTTATCAAACCCTAAACCTTAGGTACGGCCCCCACTCAGTAATAGTTGAATATTATTCGTTATATAGATATAGTAGGACCTTAGTAGTAGCCCTATTATCGACTCGTACCTAAGGCATATTACGGTCAGAAAGATTTCGGGCTGCTTGTGAGACCTTATGGAAGCCCCACGCTACTTTTTCAAGGTAGCAATGAACGAAGAACGAACAGGTATTTTACGCAATGTTTTGTCAAGGGGCAGGGCATCGTTGTAACTGTTTCAATCGGCTCTGCGGCACTTCGTTACAGGGGTCGGAGCCGGCGCATGGATTTGTTGTTCATGCTTTACTCTTCTCCCCAAGTCCTATCGTACACCCTATAGGGTTTGGGTTCATACCCTATATATCAAAAAGGCCGGACCTTGAATCACTGAGGCCCCGAAACTTCACTTCCCTAAGCCCTTAACCTCCAAATCCAGCTAGAGACCACAGGACTTCTTGCTTAGGAGCTGAAACCTAAATCCCTTATGACTTAACTCAGTATAGTACCGTATACTAATGCATTTTATAGGTTTTTGCAGTACATTATAGGATATTAGGGGATATTGCAGTAGAGTGAAAGATGTTAGAGTACAGTCATGGTACAATATAGTATGTACATGAGGCATAGGCCCAATAAAATCGATAAAAAGCCGCCCTGAGCCTTGTAGCCTTTTGGAACCCCTGAGTGCAGGGTCCAAACCCCTAAACGAGAGGATCTGCTGCGGCTCCTGGCTGGGACGGAGCAGTGCGGCTTGGGGAAGCACCTCGAGGCCTGTGGGCGGAGGGGTGCGTTAAGGAATTGTTTTAGACGGCGGTAAGTGGTAAGTATGTTCTAGAATGTTGTAGAGTATTTTGGATGTTGTAGGATATTTTGGGATAATCTGGTATATGATGGTAAATGGAGACACGTTTTTGGTTCGGAGTTCAGGCGGAGCTGATTGGGCTCATTCGGGTTGGCTGAATTTGGGGCTTATAGCGCTCGCTTTGGGTTCTTATTGCATGAGGGGGCTAGGTTGGATTTTGGGACATTTTCTATTTTCCTTGTTTGGGTTTATAAGGGACCCTATATATATATATATATATATATATATATATATATATATATATATTATATATAAATATAAATATATATATATATATATATATATATATATATATATATATATAAATATAAATATAAATATAAATATAAATATTTTTCAGTGTGTTTAAAGGCCAACCCAGAGGGTCCAATGGGGTTTTGTGTACACGTCTAGAACGGGTTTATGAAGGCTTATGAGGCGTCTTTTCACAATTAGGGGTCCCTGACGTGAGGTCCTGAACTCCTGGACCCTAAGCCTTAAACTCTTACACCCTAAACCCTAGTAGTGAAACTCCCTGGTGTTTGTGCTCCGGTCCTTCATGTGCTGAAGTGGGAGTTCCCGAAAAAAGGGGACCCTAATATAATACCCTAAGTAGTAGGATCCTTATCATAAGGACCCCAAAGTCAGGCACCCCTAATTTTCGGAAACCTCCAAGTGTCACGGACCGGTAGAGTATCTTGAAGAAGTGCTTCGGGTTTAGGTTTCAACTTTGAGGTTCAGGGTTTAGGTTTTACGGTTTGCCATTTCGGGTTTAAGGTTTACGGTTTAGGGTTTACGGGAACCCTTAACGTTTCAAAGGGCCCAAAAGTGCTGCGTCCTTGAAGGGCCCAAAAGTGCTGGGCCCTTGTGAGAATCTACGCTCGTTTGAAGACGACGTTGAAGGAACTCTCACTTAAAAGTCGAGTCTCTGTTAGGGCTTTACGGATCTAGGGCTTATGTTGGATTTTCGAGGGGATGCATGTGAAGCCCGAAAAGCCTCAACTGTCTGGTTCTTAGTGGGGAATGGGGGAATGTTGATTATGGAGACAATTAGTGGGGATTACAAAAGGCGCTACTATAGGGATGCATTCCCCCATTCCCGACAAAGCACCGGACAGTCAAAGTCAGGAGCAGCGGAAGAAGCAAGGAATGAGGGCCCTAGCAGTGCTCATCGCGTGACTCCTTGCACGCTTGGGGCATTGTAGGGCTTAGCGGTTCCGGAGTTGAGCTTCAGGGCTTTGGGGTAGACTTCTTGGAGGGGCAGGGGACTTAGTAAGTAGGTTATAAGTGGGGTTATAATTGGGGTAGCTCCATTTAGGGTACTTCTAACTCTACTTATATCCTACTTACTAAGTCCCCCGCCCTTCCACGTTGGCTTTCTTTAAGGATTGGGGTCGAGAGGGGGTGAGGGGGGGGCTTGTTCTTTCAGATATAAGGATCAAGTGCGAGGGTCTAGCGTTCAGGATTTTTGTAGAACGTCGCAGAGGACACAGGCAAGTGGGGTTCGCGGCAACATTTTGAGGTCGGATGCGGGGTCGTTGATGCTGGCAGTGCTCCGTAGAAACACAGCTGTGGTTTATGATGTGCATCGTCATCATCATCATGATGTTCTTCTCAATCATCATTACCGCATCATTCCGTGATTATCACCACCGCTAGTGACGCTAGTGCGCAGCAGTTGTAGTCTACTGCTAGCAGTAGTTGTAGTAGTAGTCGTCGTCGTAGTAGTCGCCGTCAGTAGAAGGAACAGTAGCAGCAGCAGTAGCAGGTAGGGGTAGGGGGTAGGGGTAGGAGGGACTTGGACGGAGTCGAAGTCAGGGGGAGGAGGAGTGGAGAGGAATAGTAGGACGGAGTGGGAGGAGTTGGTAGTGGTGGTCGGGTGGCCCCGGTCCTATGGTCCTGTGTTCAATGTCAGACTGAATTATGATTTTGGCAGTTGCGCAAGTTGCGAGTCCGATGAGAGTCCGACTCTAGGGCCTAATATAGGGGCTGAAATAACTACCGGTACTGCCTACACTACTTGAAGGGTTCCTTGATACAAGTGTAGTATAAGATACCCCCGAACCCTGTTCTAATTCTTAAGGCCCCTACAGAAGTCATTCGAGTCTTGAAGATGATAGCTTAGTAGCAATCGTCGTCAGTAGTAGTAGAAGTAGCCCTAAACCCCTAAATTCTGAACCGTAGCCGAGCCGTTTGAAGACGATAGCGTAATATAGGGGCCTTAAGATAATTACCTACACTATTTTGAGGGCTCCTTATTATAAACATAGTATGATAGGCCCCAAGACCTCTATTCTAAATCTCAAAGCCTCTATGTTAGGCATTCGAGTCTTGAAGACGATAGCAGGCACCAGCAGCTCTTTAAGGCCCCTATTCTATAGTGCTCCTATAGATCCCTTTTAGTGACCCTTAAAGACCCCTTTAAAGAAACCCTGTTCTATTTACAGGCACCAGCAGCTCCTCAATGAGCCGGCGAACTTCAACTCCTGTACCCTTGGACTCTACCCGCTGAGGCCGGTCCGGTTCGTTCTGTGGGAGTTTCCGAAACTTTCTAGAATTATCTTAGGGTTGCTTTAAAGGGCTACTCTAAGGGTACTATAAAGGTTCTATAATAAATTTTGTAAGGGGTCCTCATAATAGGGATCCTACTATTGCGTTAATTTTGGGGTCCTCATAGCTACTGTTGCCTTGCTCTTGGGGTCCTTATAATAAGGATCCTACTATTACCCTGTTTGGGGGTCCTCATAATCAGGATCCTACGATTACCGTATTTTGGGGTCCTCGTATGGATGCAAGGCCTCCAAAAAGACAGAACGAGGATCTCCTTAGGAAGCATGTCTTCGGCTTCGGCTACCTTGTTCCTGCTTGCGGCCTAAAACCCTAAACCGATACCCCGCATCAGAAATTGAACAATCAAACGAATCTAGACCCAGAGACTCCAATATGTCTTAGTTGAGAAATATACCTTAAATTATATTCGGCTCCCGAATATGATTTCTGGAATATTCCTTCATTTAGGGATATTGGAGTCTCTGGGAAGGAGCGACAAGTCCCTTGTGAGACGCTCTAACCCTCTCAACCCCAGGCTGCATGTATCCATGTAGGGTTCCTGTGAAGGGTTCCCTTTACTGAGGTTTGGAGTACCATACTTTAACAGTTTGTTTCGTAAAGGAACCATGAATTATGAAATACAAGTTTATGCGTTTTTCTCCCTGGTTACTTAGAAGCCCAGTTTAAGCATGCTTTAAGGGATATTCGGGTTTTCACTAGAAGAGTGTGAGCTCGAAGCGTGTGTAAAACCCGAGAGGAGCGTAAAGTCTTGTATAGGACATTTTGAACAATAAAGAAGCACTACAAGCCGGGAGGAGCTTTTTGAACCCTCAACAGCGAAGGCCCAAAACGTTAAATCTTCAACAGGCATGAGTTGCTGTTGAGGAACTTAACTTAATTTACCACAACGAGGATGGGTACAGCAAATACAAGGGTTCCTTATGAGAGTAACTTATAGGGATGTTTAGTAATTTTCAGGGTTCCTTATAATAGTAAGTTACTTTAAGTTCCGCAACAACAACCCAGCCTCAACCGGGAGGAGTTTCATGTTCTTGGACAAGGCGGCCTTCTCCGCGTTGAATGCCCGAGCCCAAGGAGATCTCACCTTAGGATGCCCAGTAGTACCCTTATTCCCTTTTTGTAGTCCTAGGTTCCTTATAAAGTTACGCAATACCAAAAAGAGAGGCCTTTTTTATTCTTAGCTTACTGGGTATCCTAGTTAGTAGGCCCAGCTTCAGAACTTTTAGAGGTAAGGTTTTAGGGTTTAGGGCTTGGGGTTTAGCGTGCAGAGCTTAGATGCGTCCTTTTGGGTTTCATCGGGGACTTTCAGTTCAGGCTCTTTAGGGCTTAGGGTTTAGGGTCAAGGGCTCTTTGAGGTTTCAAAAGGCCGAACCTGAAACCAGACCCTGAACCCTAAACCAGACTAAAGCTTAGGCTTAAGTTCAGGTCTTCAAGACGTAAGTTCTGCTTAAACTTAAGCTACCACCGTAATAGGGATGTAGACTAAATAATATGGATTCTTTGTTATGGTAACAAGGCCCTAAACCCTAAACCCTAAACCTTAAACCCTAAACCCTTATAAAACCCTGAAAGGAACCCTTTCATGGTAACTCAGAATAAATCCCTTGACAAGAACCCAGTCTACTCGGATGATTTTGCTTGGAATTTATGGACTTAGGATCTGACCTCCTCTGGTTTTCCTTAAAGGGAAGCCCACAGAGGCGTCGAGCTTCAGGAATGTCCAGGTCCGTACTTTTGCGACCTGGAGGCCTCCGTTGAGAGACAACCTCGAACCACTGGTTAACGAGAGTTTCGAGCACTCTTTCACTGGTGTCGCAGATTTTCAAGACCACACAGGCGCAGTCATCCATTCCGTACGGTCAGTGCTGACCGCCTATTTGGAACTTGGATCGTTCCAGAAATGGCAGGTTTGGCTGATCCATGACACGCTGGTTCCAAGAAAAATGGGAGCCCACGAGAAGTGGTGCTTTGATGCTCAACCAGACGAAGTGAGTGTTCGATGAGATGACGGACTGAAGCTAAAGGAGCCTTTAAAACAGGGAAGCCCTAAAGGAGCCTGTAAAGGAACCCTTAAAGGAACCCTATGGACCTTACTATCGGAGCATACGAAAAAGCTAGCTTTTGGAAAGTCGTCTGAGGGGTGGGGGTGGAGGCTTCGGGGTTCAGGGTTCCTCGAAGGTCGCTACATGGGCTCCAGAAGAGGTCTGTACATCCTCATAAAGGTTCAGGAGTTTTGGTGTTTAGCAGGCTTGGAATAACTAGGTCACAAGCACAGTTATACTGCTATGCTTCAGACCCCACACCTCCAAGTAGGGAAGACGCTCGTTCGCTTTAGCCCTGAGAACATAAGAAACCTTGCATAAGACGTGACGCAGCAGTCCTGATAACCATTCAAGAATCAAACCCGGAGGCCAAAAACCCTACACCAAGCCCAAACCTGAACAAGCTAGCATGACTGACAGCAGTTGTCTAGTAGTCCTCATGTCACGTCATGATGACAACAACTGCCGAGTTTCCCATGTGAGGTTCTTCCACGACCGGAAGAAAGCCAGAGGCGCATGCAATTTCAGGGACTGTGTTGGATGTACTGAGTATGTGAAGCAGCCTGCTTGTTTCAACGTGCAGGAGGGGCTTGGGGTTCGGGTTGCAGATCGGGTGCTTCGGGTTTGGAGTTTAGGCGTGGTTCATACACTCTCTGCGCTTGTGGCTTGCGCCTGAAGGAGTTGAGAGGTCTCTTGGATTGTTGTCATTTAAGATTTGAGACTGTCAGAGGACTGACTAAGTAAGGTAGGATACACGCAACTTAATTGGCGCAAGAAGCAGCCATTTCGCCTGTAGGTTCTTTATCCACGACACTTGTTACTGAGTCACATCCTCCTTTCAGGGCCTGAGTGCGCATAGGAGCAGAGCAACATGCAAGAGCTTTTAGCGAATCATGCCGAATTTGCATCTCAAGCAAGCATTGGCGGTGTGCTTATCCGCGAGATAGCTAAAAGTCGTTGTCGAGGAATCATGCTTCTGCCCCAGTTCCCTAAGTCCTGCTTCAGCCATGTCACCATATACACCAAGCAACTAGAGCTGTAAATGCCAGAACCCCACAATCCCTACACTATAACTCTCGTTTCAGGTAACCCTACCTTAACCCCAAATAACCTGCCTTTTTAAAGACGTTTAACAGGAAATCATAGGTCCAGACCCTTCAATAAGCCACGACAGGTGTTCAGGTTGACCTGCGCCCTAGTCCCAAACGGTCCTCCCCATTGCATCCTAATCCCCAAAGCTTGCAGCCCACACGTACTATAGGGGGCTCAACATCTACCTATGCTATTCCGGATTATTAGCATTATTTTTATATTATTATTATTATTATCATTATTATCATCATCGTACAGTATACACCCCCAACCCCCAACCCTATTCTAATTATTAAGGCCCCTACAGTATGCTATTTGGGTGGGGTTCCTTACTATGATGATAGTACGCCCCAAAGTTGAACGTCGGGGTTTTGGTGGGGGGCCCACTTGTCTTTTCTTATGAGTGGGAACCCCGAAAATAGTACAGGTACCCAGACCCCCGGAAGTATCTAGAAAGTAGATCCCTAATTTGGGGCCCTATACTATACTTGCTAGGAACCCCCATTACGGGATCTGCTACTTTTTGGATCCTCCCGGGGGTCTGCGTAATGATGAGGCCTCTACAGCACGTCCAAATCCCTTTGCATCCAAAACCCCCCGGGCCCAAGCTTACTTGGAGGATCATGGGACATAGTAAGTAAGGTTATAAGTACCTTAACTGGGGTTATAAGTAGTTTTAAGTATAGTTACCTTAATTATAACCCTAGTTGCTAAGTCCCATGACCCTTCAAGTACATGTAAGAGTTTCCAAAATTTAGCGGTATCTTTTTGGGGGTCCTTATGGTAAGGATCCTACTATTTAGGGTACTATATATATTAGGGTCTCCCCCTAAACCCTAAACCCTAAACCCTAAACCCTAACCCCCATGTGGAGGTCTGCCACAAACCTCCTCGGCTTTCTCAACAGGTGGCTTCAACTGACATGCAGGATCTTTCAGGGTGGCATGTGAGGTTCAGGGTTTAGACTTCGGGGTTCATAGAAGGGTTTAGGGTTCAGGGTTCATAGAAGGGTTTAGGGTTCAGGGTTCATAGAAGGGATTAGGGTTAGGGTTCAGGGTTCATAGAAGGGTTCAGGGTTTAGGGTTCAGGGTTCGTAGATTGTGACAGCTTCGGTATAGGCCTCTTTCTGGTAGTTAGCTGCAGGGTGGGTCAGCCCCAATTTCCGTGAACGAGTTGAGGTTCCATTCACCTAGGGTCTCGAGATACTTTGATTTCGTAGGTTATAATCACCACACATGGCAATAGTCCAAAGAAGTAGCTGAGTAGGTAACCTTTAACCTTTTGGGGTTTACCTTCCTACCATACTCTACAAGGTTAACATTTTTTGGGCTAGGGTACTTAAACCGTGTACTTAAACCCTAAGTCTCGGGCTCTCTGGAGAGGTCTTGGGCTCTCCGGGAATGCGGCCACCCTAAACCTTAAATCCAGAAGAAGCAATCTACTTTACTACCTGGTATAAATTACAGCTTATGGAATATGATTTAAGGAATACTCCTTAATTAAGGGATATTGGAGTCTCTGGGAACCTTAAGCCCTAAGCGGCCGGTTCATGACCACGCCAAAGGAGTCCTCCCGGTCTCCAGCGTTGACCGCAAGCCGGTGTGGACGTGGTAGGTAATGTAGCGCCTGGGGGATTGGCAGTTCTATGGGAGTTTCCGAAATAAAGGACCCTAATATTTTATTTTAAGGACCCCAAAATAAAGGACCCTAATATTTTATTTTAAGGACCCCAAAATAAGGTACCCGGAATTTGTTGGAAACTCCCATCTTCCTCCCGCCCACCCCACCAGAGGCCCGAAGCACGTCATTGCGGTTGAGGGTTTAGGGTTGACACAACTAAACCAATGCGCCAAAAACACGCAATAGCTTAAACAGCCCTTAACCCTGCAGCTTACACCCCTGTAAACGCTAGCCCCGTGTGACCCGAAAGACGAGCATGAACAGTTGGCAATACTATATCGTACAATCCCCATCCATCATACCAGAGCATACCCGAATAAAGCCATGTAGAGACCTTTTCACACCTTATTCCAATGAGGCCTCTCTAAACACCTACAAAATCGAATAAAACCGAGTGTAAACACCTTGAAGGCATAAAACCGCTAAGGACTCTTAATTCCCAGTGCTAAACCGGTGATGACGGGTAAGGACCCTAAAAGAACACTGCAAAGACTGCAAAACATGTGGCAAAGTACTAAGCCCAAGCACCACGAGACCTTTAAAACCCTACAGCAACGTCCTATTCGAAACCCTAAACCGCCTTTTCTACAAGCGGAAAAGCCCTCGGAGCTTGCAGGTGCCGTTCTCACATTGGCCAACGCCGCCTGCGCCAGTGGCTAACGCCGGGCCCTCCGACAACAGCTAGGGGTTTAGGGTTAAGGCCTTTAAAGCTTACCTGAATTCTAAAGATACTAACACTTCCGGTTTCTTTAGTATGGCTTCGTTATAAGAGTCTTAAACAAAATAGCTCATTTGGGCTCAGGTAACGAATAGGCTCGAATGATTAGGGTTTTGTACGATTTTCCGGAAGGGTGGTGCAGGGACCTTCATATAAGACAGTAGTGATCTGGGGTCTGCTGTAGTGTTTTCATTACACGCCATAACCTGCTCAGCTAGGGTTCCTGCACTAGGGCGTGTATCAATAGGTTAGAAGTAAACTTAGATGGGGCAACTTCAATCTATAGGGGCCTGTGTCCTGAACCCTAAACCTTAAAATCTGAAGCCTGAACCCCTAAACCCTAAACCCCTAAACCCCTAAACCCTAAACCCCTAAACCCTAAACCCCTAAATCTAAACCCTGGACCCGAACCTCCTTCGTAAGCATCCGGATCCTTCAGGCGCGGTTTAGGGCTAAAGCCTTGCTCTAAGCCCGGCATTCCCTCGAGGGCGTTGTTGGCTTTGTAGTTGTCAAAAATATGGTCCCTTTTTGGGTCCCTAATATAAGACGGCTCCTAATAGTTAGGGTGCCCAAAAAGGGACCCTAATTTTGACAACCACCCTTGTAGAAGACTGAGTAGCTGGGCAGGTAACCTTTAACCTTTTGGGGTTTGTGTAACTCTATACCATAGTTCAACAGATTAACCTGTTGGGCTAGAGTACTCAGCCCACAAGAAGTGCTGAAGGGTCCAAGGTTAGGGTTCAGGGTTTAGGGGTCGTTCAAGTCAGGGTTGTTTCAAGTGCTTGCCGTCGAAGGGAAGCACGGAACCCAAGCTCCTAAATCGTCAACTCTGAACACATAACTGGTAGACCTAAAGCTAATGCTTATCTTCTGAGGCGTCAGCCCCGACTCTTGAGCACTTAACCTCAGAGACCGCAGCACCGCCTCCCGCCAAAACGCCTGCCCCACAGCAGCCCGCGCAGCAGCCCCAGCAGCCACGCGATGGCACGCCGCGCCGCACCGCCACGCCACGCCGTGACACTGCGCCTCAGCACCGGCGTCGCGACAGCACCCCGCCACGCGCTGCACAGTGGGGCCGCCCATTTTGGGCAGATACAGATGATGATGATGATCTGGCTGAGTTCCGAGTTGCGAGAGTGTAAACCCCTTAACCCCCCTGAAACCGAGACAGCTCCGCAGGCAATGCCGCCCTGGAGGTTCTCCAAGCCCCGCGAAGTCCTTTGGGACTTGCGGGGTACTCAGACCTCCATTGACCGGATCGGGCCTCCCGGCGGTACATCGTCCAGCTCCGCACCTTGCACGGTAGCAGACGCCATGGCACATGGGCAACAATTACAGGAAAGGGTGAATGGGCACCGCCAGGCAATGGTCACTGGGCAATGCGAGTGCTGCCATCCCAGAACCCCGAAGACTCGCAAATCCTGCACCACGCCACGCGCGGCGTCTGTAAGGTTTAGGGCCAGTGGGGTCATTGGGGCTTGGCAAAACAAGTGTACGATGTTGCAACGATGTGGATTTTTACAGGTTCTGTTCGTGAGGCTGTAAGTCGCAAATCTCATGCTTTAAACTCTCCAGGTGTCCAAACCTGCGCAAGGGTGGTGGAGATTTTCTATCCTAAAGCTAGGATGCAGGATTGTAGTGTTTTGAGATCAGGGTGTCGGGTTTTGGATCTGGGGTTGTTGGTGCTTAGACCTTGGAAGTGTAAACTCGGAACTCAAAACCCTGAGCCCCAATCCATATTCGAGTGATCAAGAGTTCTTCTGCAACCGTGGTCGCGGAAATTGCGGTTCCGAGCCATGAGCCCCAAAGCCCTACCTTCGCCCACTAAAACCTACCTGTCTTCGGGCCCCTACAAATTCCACATTAGCGTTTAGAGCAAGAGCCTAATTACTCGGCCCAACACCCAACACGCCCAAACCCTAAACCCACAACACCTAAACCCCCACACCTGCAAAAACCTAAAGTCGCGACCCTAAACCCTAGGTACTTATTTTTGGCCCATATTGTCCCTATAGGCCCCTTTAAAGGAGCCCCCCCAAACTGGTATAGGTAATTTTGAAGGCCCATATTAAAGTACCGTGCTAGATCCACAAAGCAGCCTTAAGCCGAAACTCGAATTCACCCTAAACCCTAAACCCTAAACCCTAAACCCAAAACCCTCAACCCTAAACCTTAAACTGGATTTGTCAATGGCTTCATTTGCAGGAGGTTTAGGTTTTGCGTTTAGGACCCGGCATTCGTCAATGGCTCCATTTTCAGTGGGTTTAGGAGGGTGTTTAAAAGGGTTTTATGGGACTTCTGATTAGATGTTGATACGGTTTTCTGTTGCGCCTTTCGAAGGGTTTGGGAATTACTTAGTAATGAAACTTTACCCATGTCGTCGCTCTATAAGTTTACCATCATAAATCCCCCCAAAGGCCAGTAATCTGCACTCTGAATCGCGCGTTGGGACTCTGAACACATCCTGACTCTTAAGCCAAGGCTAAGATCTCCAGACTGTTCGTTTTTGAATCCCGAGCCCCCTTGGACCTAAGGCCCAATACCAACTCCTAATTACCCACAGGCAGCCCTTGACGGATGCCAAGCGGATCTCCCAGCGTCACGATATTGCCCGCCGCTCATGGACAGGAGCAAGCTCGGGGAAATAGCCAATCCTCGCTTGTCACGTTTGCGCCACGAGGGTATCATGCATCCGTTCCTACATGCCTACAAAAAGCTTTACATACCTACCTACCTACGTACATACATAGGTGCATACGTGCATGCATGCATATGTACATATGGCCATGCGAGTGTACATACATTTGTGTGCATGTACATACTTATATGTGTATACATATATATATATATATAATGTATTGTTAGGTACACATACATGTGCAACTATTTATGAGCTTCAGACTCTCCACTAGTCCCGGTCATGCCTCATGGGCCCTGAATACTCAAGCTGACACCTGATGACTTCACGGGCCGAGCTCGAATAGGATTTGGGCCCTGTTGGACGTATAATTTCGGGTTATTCATCCCCGAATGCACTGCAAAGGGTCAGGAGACTTGGCACCTAATCCTGAAGCAAGTCTAATATTCAGCAAGCCAGCCGGTCCTCCAGGTAGAGTAGCATCAGTCGACTTGGTTGTTTTTTGTTCAGGCTTAGGGCTAAAGGAAACTCCAGAAAGTTGGAATATAGTTTCAGGGTAGGATACCTTGTAATTTACCATAAAGGGTTTAGGATAATCATATTCCAACTTTCTGGCTTTTACTTTAATCCTAGAACGTGTGTCTCCGTGCCTGTATATGATGGAGGGATGGCCTGCGTTTGTGTCATACGTCGGCGCCAAAGACAGTCGTTGCCTGCAATGGTCAGGAGCCCTCGTATGATGTGATATAGCAACATAACATCGTATGATATAGTATAATAAGATATACGAAGTTGCAATATAGTCTATACTAACAAACAGTATTGATATACTCATTTATCGGGGGCAAGCTTCGTACTTCCTGCTTCCCAATCCCACCACGCCCGACAAAATTTGCAAAGTTCTTGCAGCGCGCTTCGCCGTTCCCTCGAGCTTGCCTCCCACACCCCACAATCAACTATGGAGGTAGGGCGTCATGAATACTGACATGAACCAGGATTTGTCGGAGTACGTGCACAGGGGCTTGCGCGTGCTTCGCTGAGTGTAGTATTATGCCTTCTGTGCCCATATAACTATGCTGTAATATATCCCAAGCCCTACCCCTGGCCATGTAGACCCCACGCCCCCGTCATAGACACGATAGGTAAGTTCCAGTTTCTAAGGATCCCGAACAACAGCTTGAATTCTATGCTTCAAGGCCTAAGCCATAAGCACTAAGCGATGAACCTGAACCCCCAGACCCAAAACCCTCCCCGAAACCCAAAGCTCAAACCCCAAACCCTAAAACCTTAAAACCCAAATCCAAAATCCCCAACCTCAAACCTCCAACCCCAAAATAGCCCAAGCCCCCAACATCCCAAGCTCCCACAATCCCAAGCCCCAAAAAAGCCCAAATCCACAAAACACCCAAAACCCTTCAAGACCAAAATCCCGAACCTCCAACCCCCGAACCCTGCGCAGCTCCACCAAAAGCTCGCGAGGTGGAAGCGCTCCACGACGCCGAGCCGACACTGCGCGAGCTGGAGGTCGCTCCTCTTACCTTTGGTTAGTCGGGAATGGAGGAGTGGGGTAGAATTATAACTACTATTACTACCATTCTTCCTTTCCCTACTAACCAAAGGTAAGTCCTTCAAAAAGTGGGCACCTTTAAAGGTTTGTTAAGCCTTTGCAAAGGTTTTTAAGGTTCCTTGGTCCTTAAAAGGGTTCCTTTGCTTCCTTTAAGGGTTCCTTGAAAAGGGGTTCTCTGAAGAGGTGTTTCAATCGGATTACTTGCAGGGCTCCTCTACGGGTTCATGTTCTATAGTTAAGGGCTTTAGTTTGAGGCCGCTCCGATTGTGTGTTAAGGGTGGAAGGTTTAGGGTTTTCCGGGACCAGTGTTCCTTTGAAGGGTTCTACACGGGCGTTTAGGGCATAGGGTGTGAGGCCGCTTGGAGGGGCAGGGGACTTTGTCAGCAGGTTATAAGTAGGGTTGTAATTGGGGTAACTCCATTTAGGGTACTTATCACTCTACTTATGACCTACTTACTAAGTCCCTTGCCCTTCCAAGTAGAAACAAAGGCACCCCCGCAGGCTCGGTAAAATCATCCCAAACCACAGCCCAAAAAGACTAATTGGAATTATTCAAGCCTAAACGTTTCAAAGCCTTACAAACTTACAAGCGCCAAACCCCGAAAACCCGAAACCGTAACCCTAAATGCCGCAAAGATCCAAGCATCCTCCCTGAATAGGGGAGCCTGCGGCTTGTGCCTGACCTGGAACGTCTTGCTGCCCGACTCCATCGAACATCTGCAGGGCCGGGGCCTTGGGCTTGGGTTCGGAGTACCATCCTTGAATACTTTTTTTGGTACCTGTTCCTTAAAGGAGCCACTATGAGATAAAAGTCTATACTTTTTTCTCCCTGGTTGCTTCAAAGTCCAGTGGGTGGAAGTCTTCGGATCTTCAGCTGAATTCACAACATGGGAGTTTCCCAAAATTGGGGTACCTTATTTTGGTGTCCTTAGAACCAGGATCCTACTATTCAGGGCATTATATTAGTGTCCCCTATTTTCGGAAACTACCACAGGGTTTCAGGATCTCGCTGAGTCGAAGTTTAGGCCTCTTTGGCTTCATGTGGGTGGTTGTCAAAATTATGGTCCGTTTTTGGGTAGCCTAAATGTTAGGTGCCGTATTATCATAAGGACCCAAAAAGGGACCCTAATTTTGACAACTACCCATGTAAAAGCAATCCTTTTGTTTTCGGGCAGGGTGGGGGCGGGGTTCGTTGCTGCTTATGGGGTTTATGAGGGCTTACCGGCTCCTTTCATGAAATATTTTGCCTTAAACCGTCGGGCTTGATAGGCTCCTTTCTAAAAATAACATGCATCATACGAGGGGGCGTCCTCCTGGTGATTTCGGGTATCTGTCCGTCGTTCAGGAGCTTTGGAGTCTCCGGGTTCTTGCGTTCATGCCTTGGCCGTTGCTGTTGGGATCCGATGTCTTCATATAGTACTAACAATAGTCATACTGAAAATGCTACTACTGGTAACCATCATAGTGGAAATACAAATATCACGACTAGCATTAACATTAGTCTTATTAGTTTTCATACTAATCAATACTGATGCTCTAGTTTCTGCATATTTCTGCGTCAGCGATAATGATAACAAGATAATGATAGCAATAGTAGTTTGAAGTTGATAGTACTGATTATTGTACTTATATCGATAGTAAATAATAATGATAGCAGCAACTTGCAAAGAAGAGCATCATCGCTTTTGGGATTCACGGTGTTGGAGATTGCAGTTCAAAGCTTCGGGGCGCGAGTTCGGAGGGGCAAAACTCTGAAGTCACGCCTTTGTCTGCTACAGCGATAAGTGTGTCTGAAGCAGCAGTTTCGAGCGGAAGGACAAGGATAATGCGGCAGCGAGTTGCAGGCAGCCAGACGAGAACGCGCCCGCTGGAAGAGATGCGTTCATGCAGCTCAAGGAGAGACAGACGTTGGGGGTGGTGGAGGTGGCAACTTCTCTTCTGACGTCGCCAGGAGCTGATACACGCTCACGACACCCCACCAGGAGTGCTGTCTGTGGCCCCCAAATCGAGCCTCTGCTCCGCCCTTTAAGGAGCACCTGGCGTGAACGCTTCGAGTCGTTGCGGCTACTGTTTTGCATTAGATGTCGCTGTGGATGGTGGTGCATGTGTTCATGATGGTCGTGCATGCATAGGCCAGGATAGTCTTCAGCCGCAAGATCAGTCTGAAGCACTGAAAAGGGTTGATGTTGAATGGTGCGTATTCCTTCAGGTTGCATGCACTATGTCACGAAGTCACTTGACCCCTTCAGAAGCCCTATAATTAAGCCCCAGCTTTTTTCCTGAGCCGTAGATCCCAAGCCCTAAAAAAGCCCTAAACCCTAAAACCCTAAGCTCTAAAGCCTTAAGCCATACACCACCGACTTCTCAAAGTTCGTGCTCTTCCAAGCAGACCGAACCTGACCTTGCATGCTTTAAGCAAAGAACGCTTGGGCTCTGGGTATTCAGAGACTCCAATATCCGTTATTTCAGGAATATTCCTTGCATCACATCAGGAATCCTACGACAATATGAGGTATATTCCTTAATTAAGGGATATTGGAGTCTCTGGATATGGGGTTTTCATGTCCCTCAACCTAACTTCGGAATCTTAAACAGGCCCTCTACTTAGGAATGGAAGCCTATGTTTCAGGTCCCCTAACTCAATTTCGGAATGCCAAAGAGGCCCTCAAATTCTGCTTCGGACCCGCAAAATCAGCTGAATTCGCAGGTCCAAGGGCCAGCAGGCCTCTTTGGAGGCCTTCTACCGACTTGGTCTTTGAAAGCTCGTATAATGCTAAATTCTCTATGGTTCAGGGCGTGTTTCAAGGTTTGTCCGTACTTCCTTAGGATGCAAGGCTCAGCATCGATACGAGGGGTTACCCTGGTGCTCTTAAGAACTAAGTTATTTTTGAGTCGTTTTTAATCTTCTGAAGTTCTAAAATATTCTAATTCTCCAAGGCAGTTTTGTTCATAGTATTGCCATTATGGTTCTAACGGTGGTCCAGGTTCAAGGCTGAAAACTTCCGATTGTCGGATCCACCGCGAACTATTTTTGGGCCTCTTCCTATCCTGACAAGCTTTGGACAATCCGGGCTCGTCTCTGCAATCAACATAGAGGTCTGAGGAAGAAGTTTCCGAATATGCCTGATTAAAAATCCCAAGCCCAGTTACACCCAAAACCAAAAAAACCTTCTTCCGGTGGTGTACGCCCCGCAGATAGAGGCCGAGATGCAGGGAGAGGGGCTGGTGCCTGGGTTTGGAGTACCATACTTGAACATTTTTTTTTGGTACCTGTTCCTTAAAGGAGCCACTATGAAACAAAAGTCTATACTTTTTTCTCCCTTGTTACTTCAAAGTCCAGGCTGCACCTTGAACAAACCCAAACCCTGACTCTGACCTGGGTCTTTCAATCTGATCGCCACCCATCACGACCGACTACGGTTGATGATATAAATCCTAAGGGTTCCTTTAAAGGGATCTATAAGGGTACCTTTAAGGGAATGTATAGGGTTTAGGGTTTAGGGTAATGATATAAATCCTGCATTACCTTAAGGCCCTTAAACTATGGGAATGATGGTATATTCCCTATTGTGGGTAATGCAGGATTTATATCATCAACCGTATGCATGCCTCACTGAATACGTTTGAACCCTGAACCTGTCCAAGCAGGACCTTGTCTCGCTGCGCGGCACTTAGCCGAATTTGATCTGGAGCGATGCCGTAGAAGCCCAAAGCTTGTTTGCACACCCAAGCCAACAAAGCCGACATCCAGAAACCGAAAGCTTGGATCCCCCTAAGCTCCGAACCATAAACTCCGGCCCACGTTTGACTTGGAGATGCGGGGCGTTTGTGCCATCCTTTATCTGTGAACTGAACATGCCAGATGGTTTGTAAACTGCACACTTCACCTAAACGCTAAGCCCTACACCCTAAACCGCTAAATCTCCGGGCCCGCAGCAGCTGACGACAAAGAACCGTTTAACACAGGAAAATGGCAAATATACTTCCCTGGATTCGTTAGTATAGTCGGAGTATAATATGCCCCGAAACGCCATTCTAATTGTTCAGGCCCCTATACGCAACCCCCCATAAAGCGCTGTGCTCTTATTCAAATGCTGAGATGCACTTAGGCACCGCTTTGGGATAGTTTGTCTAGTGTAGAACCCTGCTCCCTGGTTCTTAGCAGGGAATGGGGGAATGGATCCCTATTTTGGCCCTATATGATCCCCAACAATGGTCCCAATAATCCATTCCCCCATTCCCTACTAAGCACCAGGGAGTCTGACTGTGAATAATGTTGAACTGTTGAGGGCTGTTGAAATCAACACTAACACGTAGTAAAGGTTGAGAAGTTTGCCAAAACCCCAAGTATAGGCTACTTACTAAGCGACCGGATCCTGTGAGTAATATAGGGGCCTGTATAATTGCCTATGCTATGTTTTTTTTTTGTTTTTTGAGGGGGTCCTTCTTATAGTTATAGTATAACATACCCCAAAACCCTATTCTTCGTATTAAGGTCCCTATAGTATAGTACCCCTATAGATCCCTTATAGTAACTCTTAGAGACCCCTTTAGAAAGGAACCCTATTCTAATTATTAAGGCCCCATATTATGAAAGCTTCTTCAGGGATTAGTATACTATACCCCAAAGGCCCCAAAACCCTATTCTACTAACTTATTACGGCCCCTACAGTTCAGGCTACTTGCTAAGTAATCGGAACCTGTAAGTGTGAATTTTCTTCAGGGTTTAGGGTTATAGATCCCTTATAGTAACCTTATAGACCCCGAGTACAATATACCCCAAAATACTATTCTACTTGTTAAGGCCCCTATAGTATGAAAGTTTCTTCAGGGATCCAGCTCTGAGGTACCAATGCGTGCAAGCGTCGGAGAAGATGGTCGAGGCTGCCCTATGTGATGTTGGGGGTCCCTTTTGTTAACTTGTATTTATTAATATTTATCAGTATGTGCATTATTATTGTCATTATCGTTATTGCTATGAAAAGTACTCGTATCACTATAGTTGTGCTTGTTTATTAAGGCTCCGTATCATCAGCGTCCCATGCTTTCTGAAGCTCTCCTCTAACCAGGGGGCGACACAACTTGTCATAATGTCCTTTTCCAGTCCTAAACCCTAAACCCTAAACCCTGCTGTGCATCGTCTGCCTCGGCCCGGTCGCAGGTGCAGGTTTGGTCCACCGAAACGTCCTGCTCTTTGAGGGCTTCAACACTGCTTGGAGGGTCGGGGGATTTAGTAACTCGTTATTGTAGGGACTTATAAGTACTTATGAGTCTACTTACTACCTACTTACTAAGTCCCCCGACCCTCCAAGTAGGATCCCTCTGAAAACCCGCTTCCCCTTGTAAGGCGTAAAGAATGGCATTATTGGGGCACGTAAGAGGGAGTTATTAATCACGGGTCTCCGTCTACATTCCTCATTACTCCTAATCAAGGGACAGGGGGCTTCTCATTCAGACGTTCACAGACGTAGATGCCGGCCAAGTTGGAGTGCTGCAGGTGCTTCAACACCACGACGGCCGCCACGCAGACAGCCTCCGCGAGACCGTCCTGGGACGTTTGTGGCAGGGCGCTGAGCAAGGAGAGCTTTTGTAGGGTTGAGGGTTTGGGTTTGGGGGCCTAACGCTTTAGGTTTGGGGGGTTTACGGTTTCTAGGGAGATAGATAGATATCCATTTCCCTGTGTCGCGACGTGAGGGGGGGCTGCGAAGCGACAGGGAACTGCTTCTGCGCTGGCTTAATGCCATCGACATCTATGCAACCGGAGGCTCCACTTCGTCGACGTCTACGGGGGCTGGAAGAAAGCAGCGCGGATTGGATAACTGAGTGGAGCTTTTAGCAGAGTCGTCGCTGCAAATGGAGCGAGAAGAGCTGAAGGCCTCAGTTGTGCATGTACATGGTCAGCGGTCGGCCCGGCCGCCCGGCGTCGGGAAATCCGAGTTTGTCGTGTGGCCCTTCTTGTCGTTGAGCCTAGCGCTGGGCACCCATGAGTTGCACCCGCACTGGATTTGTTACATTTTCAATCGGGCTGGCTTTGCTCTGAAACGCCGCCAAAACCTCGAGGGCTTGCGGCTGAACGACACACGGCTGTCGCAGCTGCTCCCGCAATCAGCAATAAACTTCAATGCTGTGCTTGGAAGGGCAGGGGACTTAGTAAGTAGGGTATAAGTAGAGTTGTAATTGGGGTAACTCCATTTAGGGTACTTATAACTCTACTTATAACCTACTTACTAAGTCCCCTGCCCTTCCAAGTGTTCGTGCAAGTTGACGAGCTCCGGGCAGGCGACCCTCGCTCGGTGGAAGGACGCCAATTCCCAATTATGATGCAATGCACCCGAAAAACCCTAGTCTATTCATTTTGCAGGTCAAAGCCTTACAAGACCCTCTTAGGAAAAAAACCTTGTATACACTGCAAAGACATCCTAGCAAACCATACAATGAACACACCGTATTTCAGATAAAGGCCCCTTCATTGGATGCGTGCGACAAGACGGCGGACTCTCCGTCGCCGCGGAATCGATACCCCAAACCTTCCTAAGCCTCAAGCCCCCAAGCCATGAATCCGAATATGTAGGCGTCGGAACGTAGTAATTTATAGATTGTAGCATTTACTTACTTGTAGTCCCTATCTGTTTATATAGTTATATTACAATATACACCCACAGCCCCACGAACCTCGTTAAGGCCCCAATTTCGGAGCACTAGATCCCCTAACTTAGCCTCAAGCCTCCCGGCCCTGTGCGAAGAATTCCATACGCAAAGGGAGGGCTTTTCGGGTTAGTAATATATAAGCCGAGCCAGAAGAATTATCAATATACTATTCCTTAAGGTCCCCAGGTAACTTGCACGTCATACTATACCCTCAAACCCTATCGCGTCAATTAGGGGATATTCTCACATCACATTATGGGTCCCCCCTGGAATTTTCAGGAACAGATTTTGGAGCTTGTGGCAGCGGGTCAGGAATTTGGGTTACGGGGTTGAGGGTTAAGATTTGTGAATCGTTTCGGGTGTAGGGCTTTTTGCGCAAGATTACATGGTGTTGGCTCAACTGTTTACAGTTCAACTGTATACAGTGGTAGGACTAGCAGTGGGGCATGACAACACGAAGTGCTAGAGGAGATCATGCGCGCGTGTACGGGAGACAGTGAACCAGCCCAGAGCCAGGTTTTTTTGGATGTACGGAACACGTCAGAACCGACGGTGCGCTGAGCATAACAGCCGAGGGCCGCGCAGCATCTAGCAAGGTTTAGCTTTTGGGGCTTCAGGCTTGTAGTTTCTTGATGAGGGTTTAGGGCTTAGGGTATCGCGGCGATAAGACAAGGCTCATCCTTTGCCTCACCAAAACCATCGAGGCTAGCCAGGCACCCTAGCCCGACCAATGCCAACATCATCATCCGGGACGCTGCTAGCTGCTACATGCCTATCTATAGCACCCAGCTGAGCCCTAACCGCAGCCGAAAATTGTAAACCAGAAGTTATCCCCGAGATCCTAAACCCCTAGCCTCATAAACCCAAAACGTTGCGAACCCCCAACCTTAAACCCTGAACCCTAAACCGCTTAGACCCTCAAGAAGCTCGCACGCTACACTCCGAAATCCAGCCCCGGAGTGTGCCCCCCTAACCCTGCACCATGAACCGTATAGGCCCCCACTCCCTAAACCCTTGAATCCACATATACCTTTTTTAAAGGAAAAATATACAAAGAGCCCCCAAACCTCCAAACCCTACATGCAGCAACAAGCCCTAAACCCTAAACTGTAGACCCTAAACACTAAACCATACCCCAAAACCTCTGAACCCGAAAGCCCTAAACCCCGACACTCTAAACCCTAAACTATAGACCCTACAGGCCTAACCCCAAAAAACGCAAAGCCTCTTAACGCCGAACCCTATCAGACCTTTTCCTCTCAGCTCTGCCCTCTCGGACTTCGCCAACTTCCGTGCTCTGGTCGAGCAGACCATCGACCTCAAGCAAGCGGAGTTGAGGCGCGATTTGGGGCTTAGGCTGAGGAGCGAGTCTACGGCATGATATTGAAGTAGGGCTATGACATAGGGGGCCAATAACAGGACACTGCTTCAAGAAGATACAGGCCTGAACCACAGGGTTTTGATCAGACTGTATGGGGCCAGTTCCCCGAAGCTAGAAAGGGTTTGCGGCACCGTGACCCCTAAACCCTTAACCCTCAGCAAGGAAGCTGACGACGTATAGATATGTGTGTATGTACATACAAATAAATAAATGTATATGTCTATATGCATATGTGTGCGTGTATGTATGTATAGCTATGTAGGTATGTATGTATTTATGTAGGTAGGTGTGTAGATTAAAACATATCATATCATGCCATACCACATGATATTGTACTATGTTGTATTGTATTATGTTATGTTGTGCTCTGTTATGTTGTATTACACTACGTGGTGTTATGTTATATTATACGAGGAACTACTGCATCAGCACGGCCTTCGACCCGTCCCTGAAGCAGCTGGCGAAGCAGCGTGACACCATGAGGGAGCAGATGGAGGACTGGGATGCTCCGCTCGACCCTATGAAGTGTTTTTCTTTTTTTTTTACTAGGTTGCCCAGTAGTACCCTTTTGCCCTTTTGCTCAGTTGGGGTCTCCTTATTGAAGCTTTTTAACACTCCGAAACACGTGCCATTCCACGACACTTGAATGAAGTCGCCAAAGCCCTACTTAAAGCTTACTTATCTACATTTAAACTTTCACAGTTACCTATCGATCCCAAAACCTTGCAAAACTCATTACCATCCTTGTTACCCTTACATGATCTTGAAAACGGAATACTGCATAAAGGCCCAATCTTAATTCAGGAGCCTTCGTTGGTTTCCGGAATCTACAAAATTTAGATCGCTGAACCCGAAAACACAATCCAACCGCTGTAACATCAGATGTTAAACCAGCCCTGCACATCCCTGTCTGTCCACACGAAAAAGCTCCGCAACACCTCATAATTCCCAATTTCAGCCTTAACAGAGCCACATAAAGCCTCACGTTGCCCTTCTTGAAACCTGATTTCCCTAAACCCTCGGACCCTAAGCCCCATAACCCCCTTAAAGCCTACTCCCCTAGCCCCTATACCCCTCAACCCCTAAAGCTCTAACCCCTAAACCCCTGGACCTAAAACCCCTAAACCCCTAAACCCAAACCCCAGTGCAAAACCCTAAACCCCTAAAGCCCTAAACCTTAAAACCCCCTCAAGCCCTCAAACCTCTAAACCCCAAACTCCAAAAACCCCAACACCCCTTAAACCTGTAAACCCCCGAACCCTAACTCCAAAAACCCTCTACCCGGGTTTCAAAGCGTCTCGGGAGGAAGCCCGCGCCGATGTGGAGAAGAAGCTGGGCCTTGGAGGCGGGCGCTATCCGGCGTGTTTTAACGTGCCCGTTATTTCGAGTTTCAGTTGGTTTTATTATTATTACTACTACTACTACTACTACCACTACTACTACTACTATACTACTACTACTACTACTACTACTACTACTACTACTACTACTACTACTACTACTACTACTACTACTACTACTACTATTCCTATGTTGGTTGTTATTGTTAGAGTTTTGCTATTGTGAGAACTGTTACAACCATTACGAATACTACTACTAACATTATGAATGTCAATCTCATGAGTTAGCAGTAGTCGTCGGCGTGTCGCAGTAAGAGTGGTGCTAAGGGGCTTTATAGCTTTCCTTGTCGGGTGTGTACAAGGTGTTTCTCAGAGCTTGTATAAATGTTGTAGGGGCCACAGAGCCCAAAACCCTTCAACATGCTTGAAGTGATACCACTGAGCCCCTTACCATGTAAGATCTGTTCTTCTTTAATTGGCACTGGGCTCTCTCGCCAGGGCCCGTAAACCCTAAACCTCAACACCCCCAAAACACTTGAACCCCGAGGCCCCAGACCCCAAAACCCCCAAACCGTAAAACCCTAGAGTTTCGGGGTTGGGTGTTTTGGTTTAAAGTTTCGGGTTTTGGGTTTAAGCGTAGGGTTTTCGGGTTTAGGGTTTCTGGTGGTTCCTGTTTTGCCTACGCCCACAGTCCACTGATGATTGAGCCACCTTGTTTCAGACCAGGCTAGCTTCACACTCTGAACCCCGCTTCAAACCCTTGTCAATATAGATGTTTGCATATTATGCAATGAAATCCCAACAAAAGCCTTTGTGTACGCAAGCATTATTCTGTCATACCCCTATCCAAGGTGTGATTGAACTTAGGCCCGTATCCCTGAAACCGAGCCCCAACATCCCGAAACCCTTCAACCCCTAAATCTCCAAACCCCGAAAGCCCGAAACCCGAAATTGTCAATCCGGATCCTGCAATCTAGGCCTAAACCCTGAGTCCTAAACCCTAAGCCCTATAAGCCTTAAATCCTAAGCCCTAAGCCCTATAAACCTTATATCCTAAACCCTAAGCCCTATAAACCCTAAATCCTAAGCCCTAAGCCCTATAAACCCTAAATCCTAAACCCTAGAAACCCCGAAAGAGGCAACAAGGCCAAGGACGGGCGCCTGTCCTTGACCGCCTTACGCCTGCAAATGGGGTCGGGCTTACAGTTTCTAGTAGAGTAGCTTCTTAAGGGTTTGGGGTTTAGGAGTTTGGGGGTTGGGGGTTTAGGGTTTAGGAGGTTTGGGGTTTAGGGGTTTGGGGTTTAGGGTTTAGGAGGTTTTGGGTAGATTCGGGGGTTTAGGGTGTCGGAAGTATATACATAGTCTTGTTGAAGAATAGCAAGACTTGTCATAAGCACACTCATGATAAAAGGGGCCGAAATAGTTACCAATGCTATTGTGGTGGTTCCCCTTATTCCGTTTATAGTATCATATACCGATTCTGGGGTTTAAAATAAGAGCCTGAGTAAGGGCTTGAGTAATTGCCTATACTATTTTTGGGGGTTCAACCCCCCAAACCCTATTCTCATTATTATGGCCCCTATCTTAGGGTCTAAGAAGTATACAGCCATTCTACGAATCCTAGGTGAGCATAGGTGTAAAGTCCAATCCTTTTCGGCTTGCTTGCGGGTGCTTGCTAGGATCAAACAGTTTTCTTCTACAGCATCCGTAATAAGTAGGACTGACACTCTCATTCGGCTGGATGAAATCTAAAGGTGCATCTCTCAATGTATGTAGGGTTTTCTTCCGGTTGCACCTAGCTTGTGAACAAGACAGGTGCCAGCATAAACCAGCATGTGGACCTAACTTCGCACCGGGCTCCGTAAGCCTATGCCTAGGATGAGTCCAGCGTGTTCTTCATTTTCGCACAGCTTTTCTGGCGGTCCTTTCACTGTTTTTCAGGGGGTACTAAGTAGGATGTACGTCTATAAATAGGATAGCCCCAACTAGGGTATTCATAATGAAACCGTATGCGTATAAGGCCGAAACCCGAAACCGTCCTAAACCCCTAAACCCCTAAACCCTAGACCAGAAACCCAATACTGCAACGCCTAAACCCCAAACCACCCTAAAGCCACAAACCCTAAACCCTAAACCCCATAAGGCCTAAACCCGTAAACCACCAAACTCTAAACCCCTAAAGCCTAAATCCCAAACTCCTTAGCCTTTCAACCCTAAACCGACCTGTGCGACCTCAAGGAAACCCGAAGTCCGTGACTCCCAAGCCATAAGCCGCAATAGGGCCCTTAAATTTGCAAGCTCATACTACATGATTCTATACGATACTAAACCTAGTCCAGTACAACACCTTCTATTCTTCTGCTTTGAAATAACCTATGTAGAATCACACATAAAATCCACGGGGGTCTGACTTGTAATCCTTCAGACACCGAGAGGAAGCCAAACTGCCCTGAACCCTAAACCCTTGCCACATCTCCGAGGAATGTCCGGAGGGCTTGGCATTGAGAGCCACGAAGAAGCATCAGCAGGTAGGAATTGTCATAGGGACCCTTATTGTAGCGGGGTAGGGGGAGGGGAATAAGGAGATAATATGGCCCAATTAAGGAAGCATGGTCCCCTATCCCCCGGCCCCTTACCCCCCTAAGGGGTCCCTATAAAAATTGATTCTTCAGGAGTCACGGTGTAGGGTTTATTGGGAGCCTAGTTTACAGGTTCCGGTGGCGCTGGAGCCCCCCGGAAATCCACGAAGAGTGTGAAAATCAGAAGTCCGTTATCTAATGGTCTTGCAGACGACCGGTGCCTCTTCATTGCACCGAAGCCCCAACGCTGAACCCCTATACACAGCCTGAGTACTCAGTATGAGTATTCCTTCGGCTTTATTTTGTGTTTCTGACCCTCTTGCTCTGTTTGACCCCTTTCTCTCAGTGTTTCTGTTCACCCTTCCTTTGTGTGTCTCCACGATTGAATTGAACATTTTTGGTGTTGCCGTCATATTCCAACTTTTGTGTCAAAGTTGGAGTTGGAACCTTGCAAGCTTGGAACATGTGTTTTTTTCGGTTGTGGCTGATGCGGGAAACCAGGTCTGCCATGTTCCAACTTTTTGGCTTCCACTGAAAGCCCCAATCCCTGATATAGGGCCTAAGTAATTACCCATACTATTTTGGGGGTTCCCTATTGCAATAATAGTATAATGGGCCCCCAAAGCCCTATGCTAATTATTAAAGCCCTTATCAACCCCCGAACCAGTACATCCAAAACCCTAAACTTCAATCCCTAATATAGTGGCCTAGAAAATTACCAATGCTATTCTGGTGGCTCCTTACAATTATAGTATAATGGGCCCCACAACCCTATGCTAATTATTAACGCCCCTATATTGTAAAAAGGGCCCTATGCTAATTATTAAGGCCTCTATATTGTAAAAAGGGCCCTATGCTAATTATCAAGGCCAGTATACTGTAAAAAGCGCCCTATGCTAATTATTAAGGCCCCTATATTATCAGTACCCTTATAGATCCCTTATAGTAACCCTTATAGATCCCTTTAAAGGAACCCTATGCTAATTATTAAGGCCCCAGTATAGTAAACCCTGCAGCCAGGCCATCCAGGCCTTCACGGGCAAGCCGACCCTGAAGGCGTCCTTCCTCGCAACGTGGGCAGTGCCCTAACGTAGATTCCCTTTCAAAGTGTTGCTTTTGGAGGGTTCCTTGAAGGTATTCTGATTGAAACCCAAAGACTCCAATATCTAGTAATTCAAAAATGCTCCGTAAATTATAGTAGGACCCTGACTATGATTCAAGGAATATTCCTGAATTAAGGGATATTGGAGTCTCTGGTTTCCATCAGGTTCTCTAAGGGTTCGATCCATGTGGGCTTTGCACGGTTTTCCGTGTTTTGACAGGGTTGAAGACCCCAGTAACGATAACGATGGTCGCAGTGGTGATGATGTTGATGATGATGATGATGATGATCGTGTTGCTGCTGCCGCTGTTGTTGGTGTCATTGCCATCATCCTTGTTCTTGCTGTTGCTTTTGATGTTGCTATTGGTGAAGGCGGGATCGAACGATAGGATGGAATCAGACTCACCATCTTAAACAGAATATGCATGGTACAGCAAAAAGCCGCAAATATGAGAAAGCCACTGCCGGGATGGCAAGACTGACTACCTAGGATGCCCAGTAGTGCCCTTATTCCCTTTTTGTAGTCCTAGGTTCCTTATAAAGTTACCCAATACCAAAAAGAGAGGCCTTTTTATTCTTAGGTTACTGGGTATCCTAGCTACAGTGACTACAGGACTGAGCGTGCTGTGCTCTATGTTCCTTCCTTGATTTAACTGAGCTTTGGAGTACCATACTTGAAAACTTTCTTGTTAAAGGACCATTATGCAAAAAGCGTTTATACTTTTTCTCCGTGGCTACCTGAAAACCCAGTTAAGGGTTGGGGCCGAAACCTCAAGGTCAATCCAGGGACTTTCGGATATCCGTCTCATGAGCCTGGTGGGGCATCCTTCGCCCCCAGCCATCAAAATCTTAAACCCTACACCTCCGAAACATCCCTAAGCTCCAAACGTTAAATGCCTGTTCCAACACGAACTGTGATAGAGTTTGCCAGCAGTCGCAGTCTCAAGTCTTAGAGGTGCAATCTCAAGCCCTCTTCATGTAGTCTGGGTCTCATGTCCAGCACCCACAAACCCCCACAACCCTAAACCCTGCAAACCGACAGTCGCAAACCCTAAAACCCCGAACCCTGATCCGCGGACCTGAAACCCTCACGCTTAAACAGGTCCTTTCCATCAAGAAGCAGGAGGTGATCTTTACCACTGCTGAGCTTGGAAAGCTGAACAAGCAGCTTCAGCAGGCCTGGGCTGGCAAACTTTGAAGATGAAAGCATGGCTCGTGATGACGATGATGGTGATGATGAATGTGATGATGGTGACAGTGATGATGGTGACAGTGATGATGGCGACAATGATGATGGCGTAATATTAATGGTGATGAAAGCACGGAGGCAGTAGATGGTGATTTTGACCACAATAGTGACCACGGGTTCATCATGCTGATGCAGACGTCTGCCTCTTCACAACCATCCGCAGCATCAGCACCACCATCATCATCATCATCTCACCATTGCTGTCTTGAACATCACCATCATCAGCATGACGTGCGTCTTCATGTACACCACCGCATCGTCATTATGACCGTCATCATCGCCTTCATCATCACCATCATCATCATCATCACCATCATCATCATCATCATCAGTAGCAGCCACTAGCAGCACGATGATGCTCACAGGCGTTTGCTGCATTCTGTCCGGCCAGGACGATCAAGTTAAGGCTGTTGGCGATGCTGCCCGCGATGGTGAAGGTGAGTAGGATCATGATGGTGCGAGATTCACGATGATGCTGATGGTGATGCTTACAAAAATACTGATCATCAGGATGATCTTGATGGTGGCGAAGACCAGGATCACGATACAGATGATGATGACGATGAAGATGAAGATGAAGATGAAGATTAATATGAAGATGAAGATGAAGATGAAGATGATGATGGTGACGGTAATTGATGATGGTGATGATTACAGTGAGGACGATGGTGATAGCGACGATGATGATGATGGAGATGGCGGTGATGGTGACTCTGGTGACCAGCATGCCGATGATCTTGGTAAGAAGGAGACTGATGTTCCCGATGATGGTAGTGGTGATGCGGACGTTTGGCGATGGTGAGGACTTGGCTCGTGATGACAAAGTGGCTTCTAGCGACGATAACGCACATTACATAATCATGACAATGGGTGGTCATGGTCTCGTCGTAGTTCTGCTGATTATGGTTCTGATGCTACTTGTACGGCCGAACTGATGTTGTTGGCAACTGTGACTACAAGCTGAAAAGCGGTGGCTGATCAAGAAGATGATGGCCTAGGTTGGATTTTGGGACATTTTTAATTTTCCTTATTTGGGTTGATAAGGGGCCCTATATAGATAAATATTTTTCAGGGTGTTTAAAGGCCAACCCAGTGGCGACTCTCGGATGTGTATCTTCATCATTGCCCGCCCACGTGTTTGTCCACTTCGCATTTTGCGGCCTTGCCTGTTCTCTGGTCAATTCCTTCGCCCCATCCCTTGCAGGTTTTTCTTGGCTTTTCCAGCTCAGGCGTCAAGCCCGTCAACCTAAACCGAAGCCCGAAAGCTGTGAAGCCTCTAGGCAGTGGACGACTATCAGAAGCAGACCGATGCGCCCCAGCCTCAGCAACAGCTGCTACGACGAAGGCCACCACGAAGACTGCTAAGATTGCAATACCGACGATCACTACTTCTCCCAGCACGATGTCGACGACACCTAACTACTGCTGCTACAGCTGCCATCAGGAAGTGCATATTAGGGGTACTTAGAAATAATTTTAGTTTTTGGTTATTATAATCCCTAAGAAACAGCTAAAATTGTAATTTTTGCTAGGGTTCTAAGTTCAGTACTGGTAGTTGGAAGGGCAGGGGACTTAGTAAGTAGGTTATAAGTAGAGTTATAAGCCCTAAATGGAGCTACCCCAATTATAACCCTACTTATAACCTACTTACTAAGTCCCCTGCCCTTCCAAGTATAATTTGGGGCCTGAACACCTGTTTAGCGTCTAGGAACCTCCAGTATGGTCGTCATGGAATACACACACTCTGAGTAAGGGCCCTATGAAACCCTGTGAAACCTAAAGAAAAACCTAAACCCAAAAGTTAAAGCCTAAATGGTCCGCATCCAATGCCAAGGCTCGTCAGCAAAGCGCTGAAGGTCGCATCAACCTACTGCTCCGTGGTGGAGCGTCTTGCAGGAAGCCAAGGGGGCCCAGTGGGATGCTCGAGCTATAGCATTCGGGTCCACGTTTTTCGGGGGTGTCAAGCTTAAGGGTAATAAACTAGGTATCGATTTGGGATAAGTTTTGAGTTACCTTGTTGTTGAATATAGAGCTCTGAGTCCTAAGCATGATTTATATTTTGGTGGCTGTTGAAGTCAGAGCCTCCAAAACCCCTTAATTAAGGAATATACCTTAAATTATAATAGGATCCCTTATATGATTTAAGGTATATTCCTTAATTAAGGGTTTTTGGAGGCTCTGGGAAGTCGACACCTAGGACATGTTTCTGCTTGTGGTTGGATTCAGGATGTTCTTTGGGTCAGAGGCGTTGGGTTTCGCTTTGCTTGTGTTATGAGCTTAATAGGGTGTAAAGGAGGGTTTAGGGTTTAGGGTTTAGGGGCACTCTAGAAAGGATGCAGTCAGCAATCCCTTGCGTCGGTTTTCATCACCCGCGGACAGCCTGTGAACCGGCTAGGTCTCCCAATAGTATCCTCATGTTCTGTTTTGGCGTTTCCTTGTCTACTATTTGCTTAAGAAACACAAAAAAATAAAAATAATAATTAATATTCTCTATATTACCCCCATAAGGAATATATTTTTTTTAATTTTTTGGGGGTTCTTAAGCAAATAGTAGTTGTTAACACTGACGTACCCTTACAGCTAAGGGGATGCTGGGACACCTAGTTTGGGCCCTTCCTGTTGACTTTGTGACTTTGCAGCATGGGCAGATCCGTGAACAGTGTAGGAGTCGGAAAATCGGTAGCAATGTCCCTTGTAGTCCATATCTTAGAAGCTGCCCCCACCCTGTAATAGTGACTTTAAGGATTACATTAGGGCCCTATTATATTCCTATCATACCACTATTACAGGGTGGGGGCCCCTTCTAATCCATATCTCTCTATGCATAAATACATACAGACAGACGCATTTGCTGATTTATCCACTTGTTGTTCGTCTAACATATCATATACCCCAAAGAGTTCCAATTGTCCTTTCACTGCCCCATTCTAGTTCTGAAGGCCTTACATACTGCACAGAAGAGATACATCCTAAAACCCTACACCTTTACAGCCTAAAACCCTGAAGCCCCTAAACCCTAAACCCCTGTAACCCTAAACCGGGCTTGCTTCTTAGGCCGACGTCCTCGCTGACCTGGACGTCTTTGCTGCTCTTGCGCGCACGGCCCTGGCAGCGCTGGGTGCCCAGTTGGGTTTCGGGCTAATAAAGGTTTAGGGCTTTAGGGTTTAGAGTTTAGGGTTTAGGGGTGTTGGGGTTGGAGTTTAGGGGTTCAGGGTCTGGGGTTTAGGGCTTAGAGTTTAAATAAGGTTTACGAGTTTAGGGGTGTAGGGTTTGCGGTCCAAGGTTCAGGGCAGAAGAGGGCATGTTGGAGGTCTTTGGACCTTCGCCTCAAACCCCAAATCCTAGACGCCAGGGGCTAGCGGCTCAAGCTTAGACTTATTAAGGCCCCTATATTATAGTACCCTTACAGATCCCTTACAGTACCCCTTATAGACCCTTCTAAAGGAGCCCTCTTCAAATTAGTTATGAAGGCCCTTATACTACATGACTTCCTCCGCTCGGGCAACGCATTTCCACAGATTACAGAAATGGGGTTGCGAACACAAAGTTTCGGATTCTTTAAAGGGTTCCTTTCAAAGGGGCTCTGTCGGCATTTGGAAGCTCCAGGGTTTTATGGTGTTTGGAGTCTCCACGTTTAGGGCTTAGGGCCCTTGGCAGCATACTGTGCTCCTCTGTAGGGTTCGGAGGTACTAAGTCACCAACTGCGGAAAGGGTTTACCTGAGCCGAACAAGCCGGCCCGCTGATGGAAGTGCACAAGACAACGATGATAGGGAGCCTTGATGTAGGTCTTCCTGGCTGTGAGAACGGTGTGTCAGGCCTAGTCAACCAGCCCGAAGCCGAACACTCCAACCCTACACCCTAAACCCTTAAACTTCAGCCTCAAACCTCCAACCCCTTAACCCCAACCCTAAAACCCTAAACCCTAAAGCCTAAACCGTGGGCTTCCCTACGAGGCCCTGCACCTTTGTGCGCGCGGAGGTTGACGAGACAGGCCTGCACAGTTCAGGGAGCCGACCTTCGAGCCGATCTTGCGTTGGGGTTTTGGGGTTAGCAGCAATGAGTCAGCGTTTTGGCCTCGGGAATTAGCTGTGTCTTTGCACCTCCAAAGTTGAGGACCGCTGTAGACAGAACTCAGCAAGCAAGAGATCAAAGATCACATCATGCTGGCAAGACTTATTCTGACCGTGCCATCACCCTCCAAGCCCTAAGCCCCAAATCCTCGAAGCCCTACAGCCCCAAACCCATCATCCTCGAACCCTGAAGCCCCCTGAAGGCCTTTTGCTCCAACCACTTCCCATAGCTGGCATAGAAACCTAATGGAAACCCAAGGAATCCCACAATCCTCTGTACAGATCGGGTTCAGGGGTGGTTGGTTTAGTTTAAGATGTAGGCTTTGCGGTTTAGGGTTTAGGGGGCCTTTGCTGTCGACTCAGAGGACCCAAGACCTCCTGATGAAGGAGTATGCCTTAAGCACAACAACAGTGGGCCCCTTGAAGTTCAAGATTTATTCCCTAAAGTGCCGGTTGCATCTAAACCCTAAACCCCAAACCCACAAGGATCTCCGAAAGCTGAGGTAAAGACTACGTCATCGATGGTGCTGTGCATGTGCTGGTGGTGGCAAACTCCCAGCCGCTTCGCCTGCTTGTCTGAGCAGTCCCAAAATGGGAGTTTCCGAAAATTAGGGGTACCTTGTTTTGGGGTCTTTTTCATAAGGATCCCTCTATTTAGGGTGCTTTGTTGGGGTCCCCTATTTTCGGAAACTCCCAAATGTTGAAGGATCGAGGGTCTTAATAAGCAGGTAATGTCTGGGGCTGTACCTTCCCCGACACTGTGGTTCCCTCAAAATGAGTATGTAAACACTTCTGTTTCCACATATACATACGTACATGCACACACACACACACATATATATATATATATATATATATATATATCTGTGTATATACATATATATATATATATATATATATATAGCCACACACACACACAATCACATACGTTCATACACACACTCGTCATAAGTTCATACACATATACATACATAAATACATACATACATACATACATACATACATACATACATACATACATACATTCATACAAAGCCGCGAGCCTCCCGCCAGGTCATGTTGCTCACAGTTGGAAGTCTGGATGGAGAAGCATCTCTCCAACCGCTTCATCTTTTTGGCCGAAAGTGGTATGCTGTTGCCATTCCAGCCAGAGCCTCATCCCACCCATGTGAAGAACCACCAAAGGTGGCGAGACCATCAAGCCGCTCTGAAGCAGTGGATGCGCGACGACCATCGGATCCAACTACACCTCCCCGCTGGATGAGGCCAAAGTCAGCACCGGCGAATCTCCCTGTGAGAAGCGGTGCATACATACACTAGGATGCGGTGCATACATACACTAGGATGCCCAGTAGTACCCTTTTTGTAGTCCTAGGTTCCTTATAAAGTTACCCAATACCAAAAAGAGAGGCCTTTTTATTCTTAGGTTACTGGGTATCCTAGTAGAGGATTTACATAAGCATACTGTTAAGTGTTGGAGCCTGCTTCCTCAGCCAACTGGGCCTGCAAGTGACTTTTTCGGTTAGGGATCGCTCGCTTCGAAAAGCTAAACCCTGCAAACTTCACCCATCAAACCGTGAAGACAACTCGCATAGCTCCGACAGGCTCTCCCAACACTCATATCCATGTCCTACACCGTGCACAGAGGATTGTCGCGAGCCAAGACACCTCAGCCCTAAACCCTATCTGTTATCAACCTTATGAGCCCGAAAAATAATGTCAAAAAGTATATTTTATGATAGATCCTAGACCCTAAGACACCCTAACACTAGCACAACCTTTGGCAGACTCCAACACGCGGGACAAGTCCAGAACCCGAAGCCACCAGCCCCGATTTGCCCTAAATCCTTTCTTATCATTCTTGGGGTTCCGCCCTACTCAAAGTAGTAACGCCCCTAGCTTAAGCTACACACTTTTCATTCAATAAAGTTCAGGCCACTAGTTTACCCTACATCTTTTAAGGGACTACGGTTTAGGGTTTAGGGTTTAGGGTTTAGGGTTTAGGGTTTAGGGTTTAGGCCGGGACACCTGCCACCAAATACTTTTCAGCTTCGACGTTCGTGTGAGCCAGGCAAAGCTACGTCGCGAACGATTTGGACATGCACCGGGACACGCAGGGTCTCCAAGTATCGGTCTATGGAAGACTAGGTTGCTGAGTAGTATCCTTTTGCCCCTTGTATTTTGGAGTCTCCCTACTGAAACAGCATATTTGGAAAAAGGGTACCCTTATGATTAAGGGGTTACTGGGGTACGTAGAAGAAAAGTATAGGGTTGAGGGGTTGAAGGTTTAGGGTTTCGAAATCAATATCAATAGTATTCGTCAGGGTGCCTTGTTCCAACCTTACCGCAAGATATCCCAACATGTTGTTCCAAGTATTACAGGTCCTATATTAGTATGTCAAGGGTTCCGGAGAAAGGACACCACAGCCCCTTAAAGCTTGTGTCGGCTCATGCCAAGAATTCCGAGTCTTCGGATTTAGGGTCCAAGGGTTGGAAGTTATTTTAGATGCTGCGGGTGTTTGTCAACTAGGGTTTCTGGATTTCGTTAACCCCCGATCCGGTTTCTGAAATCCTCAGCAATATCGACATGGTCACTTGCACCCTGATCAATACGACCATCACCACCGCCCTGTACCCTAAACCCTAAACCCTAGTCATCATCAGAGTCCTAGTCGTGTTATTCGTCGTAAACCTCAACGCCATACTGGAATGATGATCTCAGTCACTGGTGGTTTGTCTTCCGGCCTCAGTTTGATGATGTGTATTTTCCAGCTTGATGCCCCAGACCAGAAGCGTTACGGTGCTATTGCCTGTCCCTATGAGGTAGAAGCCAGAAAGTTGGAATATGATTATCCTAACCCTTCCATGGTAAATTATAGGGTATCCTACCATGAAACCATATTCCAACTTTCCGGAGTTCCCTGTAAACCCACAGCCCTTGTGAAAATCTAAGCATCCCTCGGCTCTAAAAGCTAAAGCCCAAACTCTCAACCTGGAAACCCTATACTATACGAACAGGCCTTAAGACTTAGAATAGGGTTTGGGGGTAATTATCTTAAATTATACTATAATTAAAATAAGCAACCCCACAAACCCTATTCAAATTCAGGCCCTTATATTACACCCTAAAGCTTTTCCTTCTCAGCCTCCCCTTTGCCAATTAACCCCCGCAGCACGGACCTGGGCTTCGGGGGTTGTTAGGGGGGTTTTAGGGTTTAGGTCGGGTATATGGAGTTTAGGGCCTGAGGGAGTGTAGAGGTTGAACCTCAAGAAGATAAGGGTTTCGGAGTCATTTGGGCTTGGGGGGCGGGGGGCTTGGGTTAAGGGTATTCAGGGTCTAGGGCTGGGTTCAGGACTTGTGATGTTCCGTTTTGGGCTGTCAATCCACTTGTCTCCTTACGAAAACAGTATATTGCAAAAAAGGGTACCGTTACTATCAAGGGGTTGCCGGAGAAACCAACCCCGGAAGTCTCATTCACGCTGAAGCGCCTGGCGTTGCGAAACCTTACTGTAACCCTAAACCCTGCACCCCAAACCCTTCGCGGAGGTCCCGTTTGCATAGTATAATGGGCCCCAAAACCCTGTCTAACTAAAAAGCCCCCAATGGTACCCCAAACCCGGCGACTGAGGTCCCGCTTGCATCTCATTACCGGGCCGAACATGGGCGGCAAGAGCACTTACATCAGGCCGGAACTCGGGAATTTGGAGGTTTGAGGGTTACTTGGAAGGGCAGGGGACTTAGTAAGTAGGTAATAAGTAGGGTTATAAGTGGGGTAACTCCATTTAGGGTACTTATAACTCTATTTATAACCTACTTACCATGTCCCCTGCCCTTCCAAGTAGAGGGTTTTTTTGGGCATGATGCTCGGACCCTGTTGAGTGCACTCGCATGCAAGTCAACGCGAAACGGCGCTACCCAAGAATCCGCTCAGTAGGTACCCAGAGCCTCCAAAACCCCTTAATTAAGGAATAGATCTTAAATCATATTAGGGCTCCTATTATAATTTAAGGTATATTCCTTAATTAAGGGGTTTTGGAGTCTCTGGGTAGGGCAGTGCAAAGGGGTTTTGGGGTTTAGGACCGTTTAGGAATCAGGGTTTCGGTGTTTAGGGGTCTCTTGTCAGGGTTCTTTGACGGTGCCTTTAATACAGGGGGGTTCTATACCCAGACCTCCGGGAGGATCCAAAGAGTAGATCCCTTAATGGGGGTTCCTCCAAAGTACCCTTAGTAGTATAGGGCCCCAAATTAGGGGATCTACTTTCCTCCCTAAACCCTAAATCCCTAAGGGAGCCCTTCAAGGAACCCTACTTAGTCCCATGATCCTCCTGCGGGCCTGGGTATAGAAGGGTCCCGAGTCCTCAAAGGGGATCCCTCCGGGACTCCATCACGGGATCCCTTAAGGGGGCCCCTTTTTAATGGTTCCTTTTCAGAAACCCCTTAAGGGTTCTATTCGGGGTTCTATAAGGGGGTTTGCGGTGTCCCATACCCTTCGGGAGGATCCACAAAGTTTTTTCTTAATTTGGGACCCTTACTACTAGAGGGTAGTCAAATAGGAATACCTTTAAGAGCTTCAGAAGGCAAAGGTGAATTCAAAAATAGTCCTGAGTCGTAGGGTCCTGTAGGAGAGGACCCTTACAGTATCCCTAATTTCAGCTTCGACCGGTTTTGATGCAGGTGCCTTGACAATGTGATACTGTCCCCACTGAGAACAGTTGAAAAGAATTATTTTATAGGCATATAGGTTTACAAGGCCCTTACCTGTAGCCCTATTACAGTCTGTTACGAGTTGAGGGGCAGTACGAAATACATAGGGTTTTTGGGGCATATTACAGCATAGGAGATACGGCCACGATAAGGCATATTTTTACTCAGCCCCTGTTGTGGGCTTTTTGATGCATGGCTTTGGGGGTTCTGCTTGGAGGGTTTAGGGTGCGAGGGTACAGGGTAGTTGGGTGTTTGCAGTTGCAGCCCGAAAGCTACTACATCAGTTCTAGATCTTAGGGTTCGTGTAACCATAATAGTATAGCGATAGCGGCCCTCTACCCATGTACTCTGGATCCCTCTTTTGTACTTCAACCATTTCAGGGTATGATTCCTTAGTGTTGGGGCCAGGCATGCGGATCTGAGGGGTCTGAACTTGGGAACTCGTGTTGTCGAGGCAGCGTCCCTGAATCGTGCAATAGTTCGATACCCCCCCCGAACTCCTCCCTAAACCCGAAACCCTCAATATCCTTTGATTAAGGGCTCTTTCCAGAGCCGTACGAAAACCAGCTTCGAGCTCTTTGATCAAGGCAGTTTCGAGTCTGCGGGTTCACTTAAGAGCCATGGCTGTCGTGCTTCCGCAGCCGTCCATGGGCCCTGTGACCATGGAGGAGCTCGACGTCGAAGGGCTACTTAACATGGGGGCCTTAATAATCAGAATGGGGTTTTGGGGAGCGCATTATACCATAATTATAATAAGGAGCCCCCAAAATGGTACAGGTAGTTATTTCGGCCGCTGTATTTGGGCTCAAGGTGTTTAGGATTTTAGGGTGGGGGGTCGTGGTTACATTGTTGCTTTTTCCTGTTGTGGGTGATGGTTTCTGTCCTGGCGCCACTTCCAGAGATCTTCAAGAACAGTAGTTGCTTACCTTATAAGGGGAATGGACTTTGGGTTATAGGTGTATGTTTCATTGTTCAGGGCTTGGGGTCCAGGGTCTCAAGTTTGGGGTCCAGGGTCTCGGATCTAGGTCAACAGGATTCAAGGTTGAGGGCTTCTCATTAGAATTCCACCAGAGCATACCCCCAAACCCTATTCTAATTTATTGAGGCCACCTCAACCTTGACACCTAAACCCTAGACCTTACTTGCAAGTTGGATTCTACCTTAACAGTACAAGGAGCCTCCGTCGCAAGACGATGCTTTGGGGATGAGTTTTTTCGTAACAGTGGTCAAGCAACAAAACCTCAGCTCTCGTTTTGGGGTTTAGGGTTTTAGGGGTCTAAATCCGCCGAACCCACGGAACCCTCTTCGAGCCCCCTCGGGAAGTGAGCCAATCTCGGCGCAAGGTTTAGTGTTCAGGATTTGGGGGATTATGTTTCATAGTGGTGAGGTTTAGGGTTTTTGCATTTCCGCTGAGGCCGCGGCGTGAAAAGCCCCAAATCCTAGATAGCATCATTTCTCCCTAACCCTAAACCCTAAACCCTAAACCCTAAACCCTACCTCCCGCTGGCATTTGGCTCAAAGCCCAGCCTGCCGCAAAGTTTAGGCTCTTGGTTTAGGGCTCCCGCGCAGGTCCCGAAACGTCGGAGTCCCTTTCCCAATGAGGCCTGCAAGCCCCGAGCCCCAGAAATCCAAGCCCGAAACGTGCCCCAAGGGGGTTTAGGGTTTAGGGTTTAGGGATTCTTAGATAGGTCCGGATGCACAGGAAAAACCCTGAACCCCAAGCGCTGAACCCTCCGAAGCCAGCCATGCCGAATCGCAACTGTTACCTCGCTATAGCACTGGACGACGAGAGCCTGGCATCCCTTGGGAAGGTCGGTCGCTTGCAAGGCTTGAGCGTTTAGGGTGTAATATATGGGCCTAAATAATTACAAATACTATCTTGGGTTCCATATTGTAAGTATCGTATAATGCGCGCCGCAACCCTATTCCAATTATTAAGGCCGCCATAGTGGGGTTTGGGGTGTAGGGTGCGTTCACCGTGAGCGCGGGCACGCGATGGATGTGCTTCTTTGATGGGGACGCGCCCCCTTATCGAGGGCTTGCGTCAACATGTAGTCCTGCCCCGACCATCCCCAACTAGACAAAATTAGGGTTTAGGGTTCACACCCAAACCGCAGTTCTACATAAATGCGACCACATTTTCACAGCAAGCCACAGCTGATATGGATTGGTGTCCGGTTGCGGAGCCTCGAGCGCCCATGTAAACGGTCAGCGGCATTCTCGGCAGTTTAGGGCTTATAGGATTCAAGGTTTAGGGTTTCGGCTTCCGCAGAAGATCCAACAATGGTATTCTTGTTTGACAGAGGTGTAAAACGGGTTTTACGGTTTGTACCGGCGCTTTATGGCTGTAGGCTTTCCTTCTTTATAAGGATTTGACAAGTCGTACTGGCAAGCCGTTCGTGGTTTTTTTGTCGGAATTTAGGTTTTGTTGCTTTAAGGATTTAGTGTTTCGGCTTCGGGTTTTGGTGTTTAGAGTTGGATACTGCCCTCACTCAGTAAGCGTATTAGGTCCTTAATAGTAGGCCTAGTATAGACTGTTACTGTGTAGGGCCAGTATCCAAGTTTAGGGCTGAGTGGTCTAAATTCCAATGCGTGGACACGATCGACAGCCAGTCGGCTTCAGAAGATTTTGGTAGTTTCCTAGGTCCCCCAGAAGTGCCCCTGATATATTGGGGGTTTCCTTGAAAACCCAGCACAACAGGCTTGCAAATATTGTACACCTAGACTCTTAAATCCTAGATCCTGTACCCAGTTTGCTTTGAGAGGCATGGTCTTGTAGGTACAGACACGGCTGGTTCTTGGTAGCGTAATTAGTATGCATCAGTTCATTTGGGACAAGATCATCCCTTATAGAACTCACAGTGTACATGTCTGGGGCTTGTGAACACAGCAACTACGGGTTCGGATTTCATTGATGATTAGACCTTGGAGTTTAGGATGCAAGAGTGCCGGAATAGTAGGGTTCTGCAAGATACCTTGCACCCTAAGCCCAGGCCTAAGCAAAGGACCCCTGCAACTCCTAGACCTAGACCCAAGCCCGCAAATGTAGGGTTTTTGCAAAGCCCGCACGAGAAGGGGCCCAAGAAAGGCCGGTGCACCTGATGAAGCCCTGTTTAGGGTTTCGGGTTTAGGGTCCGGAAATCTTCGACGCAGAGGTTTTCATGTCTGCGTTTTGACCAGTACACTCAGTACACCTTGAATTCTCGCTGCAATCTCGAATCTTGTAGCCTGGACCTTTGCTTTGACAAAACAGAAGCCTCAATAAATACTCTGAACCCCAAACCAGCAGCCCTGCAGCCCTGCCAAGCGAGTATTCCTGATTAGGGCGGAGTTTGGGGCTAGATTCGCGTATAATTATCTGATTTCCTATTTCATTATACCAATCATTCCGACCTCCCGATTCCGCCTTGTTGAAGGTTGCGTCTTCCGTGGTGGCCTCATCAGAGTTGCTTGGACTACCTGCGGACACCGGCTGCCAGACCTGCTATCAGTGCCATTTTCATTTTGAGGGGTTATGGATGGGGCGCTTTCGGGTTTTGACTTACAGAGACCTCAAATGGCACAGGAACCTCGCTTTAAAGGCACCCTTGTGGTCATGTTGCACTCCGTGAGGGCTCCGCTGGCTAAGCATCTACCCAGAGACCTTGCAGCATCACTCATGCAGTGTGTCATACAGACACATCGAGTCATGCTCCACTGCCCAAAATGCCACTGTGACGGACGCACATGCAGGCGTTTCTCCAGTACCACAAAGCTGCACAAACACCAGCGATTCGCCCGGCATGGCAAACCTAAAACTATGGGTTTCGAAGCCCTAGACTCTAGACTTTGGAATTCCAAGACGAGCTTCCTCAGACAGGGGGTGTTCATGTAGACTCCACAAACGGTACCTAAAGCCTTCACCACTGAAAACAAGGGGAATCCAAAGTTTTCGGAAGCCGTCCGTATGACCGAGGCTTCGATGCAGTCGACCCGTCGTCCATGCACATGACGCGACTTGGCTTCAGGGTGTTATATATTGGTCTGGTTCACTAGAAATGCTCGCCTGAAGGATTTTTTAAGATGATGATGTTCGAGTATCCGCCAAGACCCTGTTTTGACTTAAGCCCTAAACCCTAAACGCCCCTTTACCAGGGTTCCCAGAGACTCCAATATCCCTTAATTAAGGAATATTCCTTAAATCATATTAGGGATCCTACTATAATTTAAGGAATATTCCTTAATTAAGGGATATTGGAGTCTCTGGGTTTGGCCTGCCCGACTGTCGCCTTCCTTTATGGAAACTGAAGAGCGACTTTTTCCTACGAAGAGTTACCGGGGCACCGGTTTGTGTCGGGATTTCACGCGGCTTAGGGGTGGTGGCATAGGCCTTAGGGTTCCAGACTAGCGAGCTGAAAGCTCAGGCGCCCAGATGGAAAAAATGCCAAAAGTTAGTTCTCCAAATTGGGATGCCTTTTGATGTTCTCTTTTCCGGGTGCCGTACTATGTTTGGGACCTCCAAAAGGGATCGCCCGCCCAGAACCTGGGACCCCCCCAGCCCGAAACCCGAAACATTAAGGCTGCATTTTGGTTAGGCGAAGCCCGCGGGCGAGCCGTGAAAAGGTTGACGTGAAGTCTCTGAGGCAGCAGCCATACGAAACGGTTGTAGAACCTGCTGTTTGTTGCAAAACCCTCCGTTGAGAAAGGCCTTTGGCACTCCAAGCCCCAACAGAAACTTGTGAACCCTGTAAAGCCTAGAAATCTTGAAATCATCCAAAGGACTTTAAAGCTCGAACCTTGAATCCCAAATCACGTCTAACCCTCGAAGCTTTCTCTCGCAGTGTGGTTTCCGCCCAGGTTCCTGTTCTTCGGTGAACATGCTGGGAGGCTACCGGCACCGGCATTGGAGACTTTGCATGAGAGGCTTTGCAGAGAGCTGCTGGACGAGGGCTTGTCCACTCCCATGGCCTTCAAAGGCTTTGAAATCTTCGGGAAGATGAATGTGACCTAGTAGCAGAGTTGGTAACCTTTTAGCTTCTTGGGGTATTGCAAACCCTTTGTAATTAATCCCGAAGATGTAACAATGGCTCCCTTAGGGTACTGGACAACGAAGGTGGTAGTGGCCACCTTCGATGCTCCTCAATCCATGCTGGACTTGCGAGATAGGGTTCTCCAAGCTTGTCTCAAGGACGCGCGGGGGGGGGGGGGGGGGGGGCGAAACACATATGGGTTTCATGTGCTGTTCTCATGTTCTTATAAGCCTAGGTTGCTTATTACTTTCTGCAAGGAGATCAGGCCAAGAGAGTTTGCTGTTCTTTGGAGCGCCTCTTTCAAAACCCTTTTGGGAAGTTGTTGAAACCGACCCGCTGTCCCTGCATGCAGTGGAGGACCCGTCCTTCCCGCCTGCGTTTATCAAGCTGCTCAAGGAACAGGTCGTTCCTCGGATGTTCAAGCATGCTGTCAGTTGTGAGCTGTCCTTTCGAACGGGCAGTGTACTGTCCTATCGTATTTTTCACATGGCAAACGGCCCAAGTGCCTCCGTCTAGGACTGGCTCCATAGCTTTAAGTAGGGTTTAGGCCGTTGGGTTTCTTTGGTCAACACAGATACCTATAAAACACTTAATCCCAAACCTGTATACTCGAAACCTCCCACTTGTTCATACCTCGCTGGCCCCACTATAGCCTAAAACATGTTATATCTCTGTAAGACCCTGTGTATATATCATAAAACCCTCATGGAGTCCTTCTTAGAGTAGCCCTTGTAGACGCCTTTCAAAGGGAACCCGTAAACGAACCCTAGTGTTCTAATTGTCATAGAACCCACATAGAACCTTCTTAGAGTAGGCCTCGTAGACATTCTGAGTTTTTATGCCACTACATTTTGCCTGAACCTTAAACCTGAAGCCCAAAAACTACAGAGTTACGGAGTTGGGTTTAGGGTTTAGGTTTCAGAGACCCTTGGCCTGAAAAACAGGAGCCATTGAGGCGTAGACCTCCCGCCCCTGCAACGAAAGAACCAAGCAGAGCCCTCAGCCGCAGAACCCTGAACCCATCCCCGAAGCCCGCCAGAGCCCCTAAATCCTGAGAAACGGCATCGACGAGCCTGTTGGTTAGAGGTTTAGGGCTTAAAGGGGTTTAGGGTTTAGGGTTTAAGGTCTTCTAGCCCCAACCCTATAAGGCCCGAACCGGATGCCCTGAACCGTGAGCTCTGAACCTCAACTAGGTTGCCCAGTAGTACCCGTTTGCCCTGCTTCCTGTGGGCGCCTCCTGATTAGACTAGTATATGGGAGTTTCCGAGAATTAGGGGTACCTTGTTTTGGGGTCCTTAGAATAAGGATCCTACTACTTAGTGTACTATATAAAGGTCCCCTATTTTCGGAAAGTCCCATATTCGGAAAAAGGGTGCCCAGAATAACAAGGGGCTGCTGGGGAACCTAGTTAAACCCCAAACCCTAAGCAGAGGAGTGGATTCCGCACATCACGCTTGGGAAGATCCGCGCCACCCGGGCGCAGCTGTCCTCCGTCAGCTGTAGAAGGCAAGGGAAAAGATGGGCTTTTTGGCGTTCCTTCAAGGGGGTCTTACAATATAAAGGGATCCTTTTGTCGCCCTTAAGAAATTGAAAACCCTTAAAGGTCTTATAATATGAAGGATTCCTTTTGCCCCTTTTTAGAAAACCCTTCAAGGAACTTAACGCTTTTCTTTGAGGTCGGGTTTGGGGTGGGCTGAGGGTTTAGCAGCTTGGAGGGTGTTCCTGTACAAGATCGAGAAGACGCAAGGATTAGTATAGGGGCCTTAAAAATGCCAATACCATTTTGGGGGTTCCTTATTGTAATTATAGTATAATGGCCCCCCCGAAACCCTATTCGAAACTCTATTCTAACTATTAAGGCCCCTGTAGTATGTAGGTAGGCTGGTTGCCTGCTGTAGTTTAGTGTTTAGGGTTTGGGTCGAATCGAAGGGTACGGGGCACCAAAAACGTTAGTGCCAATGTACGGGTTGGGCTTTAGAGATGGAATGTGCAGTTCGAATTAATGCTACGATGATAAGAATGTTGGTTGTAGGGTCGGCTGTGACTCAATTTTGCTGGACATGGATTTGATGTCCGATTTTGCGTGCACAGGAAACACAACCCCAACACATGTTGGAAAGCCCCTCACAGCAGAACTCCTCAAAGCTAACACCTGCAACCTTCAACAAAGCCTGCAACCCTCAACCCCAAACTCTAAACCCTAAACCCCAAACTCTAAGCCCTAACCTCCCAACTCTGAACCCTAAACTCGAAGACGGCTCTTGGAAGGCTCCGTGCGTCGCTCAAAGCTGCACAGCCCAAGGCCAGTCTGTCCTAGGCGACTACCAGATGCTCCTTAAAGGGTTCTATAAGGGATCTATAGGGATTTTACAAGGGATTTTTAGGTTCTATAAGGGCTCTAAGAGGGATCTATAAGGGTTCTATAAGAGAACTAGAAGGGTTCTACAAGGATCTGTAGGGGCTTAGGGTCATAGGTGACCCTTTGAGTTCCGTACGCGTGCGCCCTTTCAATGTTGAGTCTCCTTTTATGAAAGCCGAATAGTAGGGAACAGGGTACGCTTATTATGGGGCTACTCAGGAAGCTAGTAGTAGTTATATAAGGTATATAGGAAGCGACTCCGCATTGCACTTGTCTGATGTGTCGATGAAACACTTCCATATTCCAAGAACCCGTATCCCCAAACACTACAAAATAGTGGGTTCATGCTTAATTTGAGGGTCTAACCCCTAGAACAATAGATAGGTTTTTGGATCCCCAAGCACAAAAAATGTGATAGATTAAGTTAAGAGCATATCTCTGAAGTCTCCGGTGCTGACACTCTGTCAGCTGACCTCGAAGCTCTACCGCCAGTTGTTCTCAAGTTTAGGACCCCCTTTTAGGTCCCAAAAACAATGTAAGACTGAGAACAGGTAGGGCCGAGGTGTTAGTATGGTGCCTTGTCTTCTAAGGCCCTGAGTAGTACCCTTTCGCCCTTTTCTTGTTGGGTTCCCTCATTAGAACCAAACAGTGGGAAAAAGGGCACCCTTCACCCTTATTATCAAGGGACTGCTCAGGAACCTAGTAGTAGTTGTATGGGTAGTTCTCTACATAAGGACCCCTTTTAAATCGCCAAGATAATACGGCACCCTTATATCAAGGATCTTCCCTGATGAGGAGAACTACCCAAATCATACGTTGTTAACCTATTCTACTATAAAATGTCATATTACATTGTTTCATACTCATTATACTCGATCATGTTTTCTTATGTGATTTTCCTACGTATATAGCCTAAGTGAGCAGCGTGGCTTAAGGTGGTGCCTGGGCTCCGACAGCTCAACATTTGGACTCCCGAAAAAAGCCTTTCGTTATCAGGGATGGCAGGAAATCACCTTAAGCCCTCAACTACGAGCCCACGTCCAAGCCCTGGATCTTGCCCCACAGTTTCACTATGTTGGAGTGACCAGCCCTGCGCGCATAACATCAGGCGGCTGAAGTTTCGGGCGACAGCAAACGCGTCGGGTTCAAGCGTATGTGTGACGCGTATTCCTGCGTGCATGGTAGGCCTCCGCCATCTTCCATCCAAAGATGCGAGCTCAACCCTCAAGAAAGCCTCGGACCCTACAAGACGGCTAGACAAGCCTCTTCGCAACTCAAGCCAGATCTCAACTCCGATGTTGTGTCAAGACTTCATCTGAGAATAAGAAAACAGTAATCGTAATAACGACAATAGTAATAACAACCAGAATCGTAATAATAGCGCTAATTTCCGTAGGCTCTGAATTCATCGCTCCCGGAAGGGCCTGACGATGCTGGGAGAGCGTCCGAAGAGAGCACGGCTGGATTGGGACGCTGCCCTGGAATTCTTGCCGCCGGGAGTGGCCGACTGCGAATGAGCACCAGGATCAGTCAGGCGAGGCTCACCTGTTGTTCTGCTTGAGGTGGCACGTTCATGGTGTCAAGACAGTCCACCAGTTCAGGGAAGGCCGTGGTTTGAAGAACCCAAAAACTTTCTTGATCTGGCTGCTACGAGAAATTCGGGGGTTCAGCCTTCGCAGCCTTAAGCTCTTAAACCCTAAGACAGCGCAGTTCCCACGTAGGCTTCGCGCCCTGGGCCCCGCGAACGGGCCAGGAACGACCTTGGCAAGCTGCAAAGCTTGCGTCAAGGATCAGGGGACTTTGTAGCAGCGATGACAAAAGTCATATAGTGCATGAATGAATACGAACATCATTCGTTTGGGGTCCTTACTGACACTCAAAGCTTAATGCACTCCCCGACCTATTGAGATCCTTTTACTGCCCAATGTGGGATACTATAGACTGGGTTTAGGGTTTAGGGGTTTAGGCTTTCCTAAATTCAAAAACCCTAAACTACGTATATACGAAGTCACCCAGGATCCGAAGTTCACCATGTACAGTGTACAGTCTCCGTCCCTGGCGCTCGGCTGGCATCGGCTGAAAAGACGGGATCGGAGAGCGCAAGCCACAGAAATGCCCCTGCAAACACCACAGGGGCCTAAATAATTACCAATACCTTTTTGGGGGGTTCCTGATTAATGAGTATAGAAAATTGGCCCCCAAAGCCTAGCCTGTTCCGCAGTCAAAGAGCAACAAGAGGAAGGCCAAGCCAATCCTAGCACCTGAAACCCGAAAGCACAAAAAAAACACATCTACGCTGCAACTCTGCTGGGTGTTCCTTGGGAATCAGCTTCGTGTTTTTATTGTTGCATGAGACCCGACACTATTATATTATAAAGCCAACATGGAGCTGAAAATCGCTCTTCTTTGGGGTGGTTGGGTCCTGACATAAAAAACAACAATAGGATAAGAGTACCCCATCACAAAGAAAACATCCCTAAATCTTTAGAATCCACTACGTGGGAAAGCTGAGCCCCACCCCTTCCTTTTGTTTCAGAGAGCTTTCGGACTGTGAGGAGCTACTCCGACGTCAAGCGGCTCTTCCCTACGACTTTCCGCAGCTCAGCGGGATTCAGGGCGCTTGGGGTTTAGGGTTTAGGGTCTGAGGCTTGAGGGCATTTTTTGGGGCTTGGGGGATCTGGGGCTGTAGGGATACTTTAAACTTTGAGATAATGACATAACTGAAAGTGCACTCTTTCATGGGCTTGCGAACTCGGCAACGAAGATGTAGTAACCTGAAGATACCCTTTTTTTTTTTTTTTTGAGTTTAGGGCCTCTTTGGCATAGAATGCATAGAACCCTCAGTAGTGGAGTACGTAACGATTAAACTTGTTTGGGGGTACCATAACCCTGTATAATCCCAAAGGCTAACCTGTGGTTTCCCCAAGAAACTGGACGAGTAAGAACCCCTGTAGAGCCGCAGTGGTTGAGCCCTGACTCAATTCCTGAAGCCCAAAACGCTTGAATGCGTTCCTTTTACAACATCTTTTCCTGGCCTTCTAAGGGGAGAAGAGTAGTACCGAATGTGCAGATCAGGTACAGGAAACAACGTCTAGAGTTTACGATAGGACTCGGAAAACTACCAACAAGTATCCCGTGAAAATCCCTCTGACAAAGTTATGTATGTCACATGATATAGCCCAAATCTCGCATCTAACTATCAAGGGGCCTTACATGAGCTTTTGGGATGCCCGGAACCCCAAAATATTAATGCACAACCCTAAACGAAAACCAATGCACTATTCTTGCACCTAAGGGTTCTTTTGAGGTTCTACGAGAGTTCCATCGCGGCCCTACAAGGGATTTATAAGGGGTCTACAACGGTAATTCAAAGGCCTCAAACCCATCAAGCTGAAATCCAAAATCCTCACCCCAAAGCCAAAGCCCTGAAGCCTTTCCCCCACATCCTCAACCCTAGCGCCAAAACTCCCTCTCATACCCTAAGCCCTAAACTTAAACCCCTAAACCCTAAACCCCCTTTGCCCTAAGCCCCTAAACCCCTAAACCCTCAACCCTCATGAACCCACTATGCAGTTCGTTGGATAGCTCCTCCTTGTCATAGTCGGGTAACATTTTATATTTTTATGGGTACTTAAACCTAATAAGAAATTAAAAGTTTACATTGTTAATCCTATCCCAACCATGAACTACCTTAACCTACCAAACCCTACAGTTTTGTAGGCTCTTATTACACATCCTAATATGGAATTTATAGAGACCCTACTTTTTTGTAGGTTTTGGTAGGTTAAGGTAGTCCTGCTCTTGCAACAGGCAACCCGAAGCCCCAAGTTGATCCCCAAACTCGAAACCCCCAACTCTGGAACGCTAAACCCAAACCTAAACTCAAGAACCCTAAACCTCCAACCCCCAAAAGCCCCAAAACTCTAAGCCCCTAAGCCCTAAACCCCCGCATCCCTAAACCATAAAAACCTAGACACCCAAACCCCTCAACCCCTAAATCAGCCCAAAGCTCTAAGGCCCGAAACCCTCAAACCCTAAAACCCTAAACCCCCTTAAAACCCCCTAAAACCCCTAAACCCCCAAACGCCTAAACCCTAAAGCGCAAAACTCTAAGCCAAAAACCCCCAAACCCCTAAAACCCCTAAAGCCCAAAGCTCTAAGGCCCTAAACCCTAAACCCCCTTAAAACCCCCTAAAACCCCTAAACCCCCAAACCCCTAAACCCTAAAGCGCAAAACTCTAAGCCAAAAACCCTCAACCCCCTCAACCCCTAAAGCTCAAATGTGGTAGTAGTGTTGTCACGTTGTACTCCCGCCCGGATTCGTTTGGGCTTACAACATTCTCATTTGACTGCAACCGCAAACTCTGCAGTTCAAGGTAACCATGGGGTTTTCATTCGACACGGAAGTGGTTGTACCCTTCTTTGACGAGCTTGCTGCTCTGGGGTCTGATCTGATGGCGCGTGTATGCGCCGCAGTTTTGATTTCGACAGTCATGATCTCCTTGTTGGCTATTCTATTCCGTAAGCGGCTTCGATTCTGTGTGAAGTGGGGCAAGACTTGGTTCGCCTTGTCTAGCCTCATCTGTTACGCTATCGTTGCTGTTACCGGTTTCCGAGGCTATCCGGCTCTTGCAGCTTTGGTGTTCTTTTGGGACACCAGTTTTGTTGCTGCACTGTCTCGTTGGGCTGCAGTTGCCACACCTGTGTTCAAGGTGCCTCCCAAACCTGACAACGTCGTTTATCGGTCTGGTGAGATCTTCTTCGTGAACATATGTGGTAAACCAGTGCCTGTGTGGCCAGGTACCATCGTCTCCGATCCTAAGTCTGGAGTTGCTACTCAGTACAACTTCAAACCTATGGACGTCAGCGAGTACACTTCTGAGGTTCGCGCTGAAATGATGACGGTACAGTCCACATCAGGCGGTTTTGTTATCGAGCCTGGACAGTGGCGCTGTGCTACCCTGAAAGATGGGAAGCTCAGTCCTGCCGCTGGCAATTGGACCAACTCGTCGTGGTATTCCTACCGGAAGTCCACAGAGTGGAAGGCAGGCACACTTGGTGCGTGCCACTCCTTGCTTGGAAAGGGAGGACTTTGTGATTTAGACGCTGAGAAACTTTTCGTTACTCACGACTTCGTCACTTTTGTCCCCTCTTGCTCTTCTCCCGAGGAGTGAGACCTTGCAATTGGCCCCATGTGTCCCTTGCCGAAGCGCTGGGACGCAAGTGGCAGGAGGAGGATATGGTGAAGGCAGAAGAGCTTTGCCTCCTCTCCCAAGATTTCAATTTCGCCCCACTGGGCATGAGGGTTCCTTCTCTCAAAATCTCCAATTCGTACAAGCCAAGCGTGAGTGTGTTTCACATTGAAGAGGGTGTGCCCCTCGGCGTGTCCAACGGGACATGCCTTAATAACCCACGCATGGTTGGATTGAAAGGGGTGAGATTGGGGAATTACTCCTCCGGGCGTGGAACCTCAGGAGGAGCTGTTTTCCATGTGGATAAGTCTATTGCAGGCATCCACCTCGGATCCAACCCTGGATACGGTGACCACCCGAACATCTTCCGTCAGCTTGGGCACATGAGGTTGATTATGAGGCCCTCCGTCTGTGCCGACCCACTTTGGGATCGCAGATGAGGACTTTTCTCCATGCACTAAAGGAAGTGAGCCGCCGGGCATCGCTGGACTTGACTATTCAACGTGAAAGTTCCTTGAAATCTTTGAACATTTCGGAACCAGTCCCATCAGTACGAGTTGTTCCGAAGGAAATTCGTCTGGTGAGACAACAGCTGTGTAGAATACTAGATGGCCACACCTATGCACGAGCCATGCGGTGTCCTTTTGGCCCATCTAGTCCGGCGTTAACGTGTCATGTGCCTCTTGTACATCCTACTCTTGTTTGGAATGCTTACATGCGCTCCAAGCGCGCACAGCGTCTTAATTAGGAATTTGTTTTACCGATAGTCCGTCGTAGGGATCCTTGCGTGCATCTCGCCCGGATCGTCCGCAGTGACTGCTTGCGTAAACCCCCCAACCCCTAAACCCCCAAACCCCTAAACCCTAAAGCGCAAAACTCTAAGCCAAAAACCCCCAAACCCCTCAACCCCTGAAACCCAAAGCTCTAAGCCCCCATACCCTAAAACCCTAAACCCCCAAAGCCCTAAACCCCCAAACCCCTAAACCCTAAAGCGCAAAACTCTAAGCCAAAAACCCCCAAACCCCTAAAGCCCAAAGCTCTAAGCCCCCATACCCTAAAACCCTAAACCCCCAAAGCCCTAAACCCCCAAACCCCTAAACCCTAAAGCGCAAAACTCTAAGCCAAAAACCCCCAAACCCAAACCCCTAAACCCCTAAAGCCAAAGCTCTAAGCCCCTCAAACCCTAAAACCCTAAACCCCCTCAAACCCCTAAACCCCCAAAGCCCAAAACTCCAAGCCCGAAGCCGAGGCCAGGAACGCAGGCCGTGCAGCTTAGCGCCTTTCAGGCTCCTTTTGCTTTTCAAACGGGAAAAGGAGGGACCCTT